TACGTCACCAGCAGATCATGGAGGAGTTGCAGAAATCTGACCCCACCCACCGCGGTATTTCGCCAGCCGGGAGAATCGGTCTCCTGAAATCATCTCACGCCCGTGAGCCTCCCAGTTCAATCTCTCCTGACAGACTCGACTCTGACGAAGACTTCAGGTCAGTCGAGCCGTCAGGCACGGTCAGCCGCCCGTTCGAGCGGGACGAGCGCGTTGGCCGGGGTCAAATTGGGCCGCCGACGGGCCTCCGCGCCGGTCGCGGCGGCGATCACCTGCGGGACAGCGCGAGACGCGAGCGACATGCTGGCAGCCGGCCGGCGACACTGATGGATGGCGAACCGAGACAGCGCGCCGCTCATCGGACGGTGCCAGCGAGCGCGCACTAAACGCGGCGCCCCGAGGGCGGCTCGTCCCGGTGACAGCGAGACTGTCGGCGCAGAGATGCCCTTGGGCTATGGCTGTGTAAATGGCGCAGTCGATAAACTAGCTTGATGTGTGGAAGCCTTATTTGTCGTCGGTAAATCTCAGGTAGTGCAGGTAGCCTTAGACTGCGTGGGAACTATGTGAGCCACCTCCTTGACATTCCACTGCACTGGCGCGCGAGCATCCGTGAGGTGCGCTCTCGCCTCTGCTGAGTGGGGTGTTTGGCGGTGACTGGCAGTTATTCGACGGACTGCGGGTGGCACACAGTCATCCTCCTCCCCTCCCCGTGCCTCGAGCAGCACAGCAGCGGTCATCGCTCGCCAGCGACGGAAGCCTCGGAAGTGGGGACGCCGGTCGGCCGGAAGGTGCAGGAAGCTCTGACTCGCGGCCCGCTGGGCTGGTTCCGGCCGGAGCAGCGTTCACCGCTGAGTGGCCAGCTGTATTGTCCGCCCTATTGTGCCCAGCTGTACAGTCCTATCGTTCTAGAGCAGATCCGGCGGCACCGCGCCGCCGTCACGTCGGTGACGTCCGCCGTACCGGCGCTCGTTTACCGCTAATTCGAGCCGGCGGCCGCGCGCGCCCGCGCCGCTGCCACGCCCCACCACGCGTCTCTCGGCTACCGCTCCAAACATAACGATTTTCCGCTGGCCGGGGCTCGTCTCGACCTGGCCGGGCGCCCGTCGGCCGTCGCCCGCCGGCTAATCTCGACACTGAGACGATGCTTTGTCTCATCGGACCCGGAGGCGACGTGCGGGGGAGTGCCGAGATAGGCACGCGCGCGAATTATTTATACGACCGATGGTGGCGGAATTAAGGCAGATAACAAACAGGACGAGTATCGTCCGGTGCCTCGTAAAACCAACAAACAAAAGCTGAACAATCTACAAACTTTTTTGTAACGTATAAGTTCGTGCCGAAAGTTATCGAACACGGGAAACAAAAACCAGGTCTGAATTACGTCCCGAATCCCCGATGTTTTTACACATAAGCAGACAAAAGTTCTATCCGAATTCCGAAAACAGAACAGATGAGTCTTGAAGTTGATGCACATTTTATCATATTCGGCGTACTCATACGAAGCCCGTCAGAGCCTGGAGGATAGCACGAAAGACGGCCACATCGGTTTCAGGGTGAAATGGAGAGACATGACACGCTATGGGAGACACAAAGAGCGCTTCTGAGACAGCGGAGAGCAGTGGCGCGTCACCGGCCCGCGCCTCTGCTCTGACAAACGACGCCGGCTGTTACGCGATGAGAGCCCCTGTCTGTGATGGACGAGGGTGTCACAACTAAGTACGGCAGTATTACCGAGGCGCGGCTTGGGCCATTGAGTTAGCGCCCCGGAACACACCACTCGGGGAGCGGAGAGGGCGAGGGACGAGACACCCTCGAATAAAGCCGGTCATTTATTGCAGGTTATTCCCCAGACACGGTCTAGGGAAGGGATGGTAAACGATCGCCGATGTGGAGCTCGCTACCATCGTCTGGGGTTCGTTTTAAATCGGCAGCGTTTGACTCGAGGTGACTAATCCCGAGTTAACGCTCAGGCGTTCATAAAAGACTTTTGCAATATATGGGGCATTCAATTTCATAAAGGAGTTTACGAAGCAGCTATAAATCTTCGATGCAAAGTATCACGCCCACAAAGGGCCCGAACGTAACCATTTCCGCTGATATTAGATGGGCGAGGCAGATGAATCACACACATGGGATCACAGGCGTCAGCTTAATTCACAATCGGACGTCCGAGACCAATCCGGAAGGAAATGAAACGAGGAAATGGCTATCCTTAATTCTTACATTTCGCCCCTTGATAAAAAAGACCCAGCGCCAGTGTGCAGCACAAAAGCTCCACTTCCCTTTAATAAGCCAGTGCCAGCACAAGCTATAAGCCACGCCACTAAATAGATGCCACAGTGATGACGTCTATGACGCCACAGATGACGTTTATCAGTCTGCGGCACCCCGTAAGACGGTGCCACCGCCGCCGGCCGGCTCCACCGCGCACGTGGCCTCTCTCAGCAGTGCCGCCGGGGCCGTAAACCAGCGTGTGTTTACCGGCTTGTCTGCCGTTACCTGCCGGTATCTGACACTGTTTACCGGGGGACTGCCGTTACCTGCCGGTATCTGACACTGTTTACCGGGGACTGCCGGCTGACCTGGCGGCGGTCGGTGGGATCCACTCGGGCTGTTCGAGATAGGGATAGCGCCCGATCCGAGCTGTTCGAGACGGGAATACCGCCCTGTCCTCTCACGACCTGCCTTGGGCAGCGATCCCGTCCGACATGAGCTAGCTACCTTGGACATCACACCGGCCAACGAGGGCTCCCAGATACCATTGGGCATCATAACCTGACCTGACCAAACCGTGTCCACTTCCGGTTTACGAGCAACCAACCTTCCGGTCTCTACGAGCTGGCACTTTGGGAACACCAGGGAGGACGGAAACATTACACAAGCACTGAAGATTACTGTGCATTCTGCGCTCTTTTTAACCACGTATATTTTGTTTTTGAAGCATGGGCACCGAGCAGCGATATAACATAAAGAGCATCTGAATCAAACGTCTGCTATAACCGGCATTCATGTCGGATATCCACGTCAGCTCATGCTTCTACCGAATGTATGTATCAGCGCCATGGGAGCTGTATGATACGGCCACACACGGCGGACGTCATGTTTGCGGTGGGATTCAGCGGCAGCCCGGCGGCGCCGGCTGGTCAACGGCGCTTACGAGTGGAGCCTAATGTCCGCGGCGCGATACCGTATCAGTGCGGCGCTGTACCGCTCTCCGGGGAAGCAGAGCAGTAGCTGCCCCGCCCCCTCCCCTCCCTGAGGCGGAGCGGTAGCTGCCCCGCCCCCCCCCCCCCCCTTCCTGAGGCGAGCGGTAGCTGCCCCGCCCCCCCACTCCCTGAGGCGAGCGGTAACTGAACCGCCCCTCCCCGCGGCAGGCGGCAGCCTGAGGGTGTACTGCCTCCCCCGTCCCCGAACGAGCGGTAGCTACCCCAACCCACCCCTCTCCGCGGCAAGCGGCAGCCTGAAGGTGTACCAACCCCCCCCCCCCTCCCCGCAGCGGTGCTCCCAGGACGGGGCAGGTGCGCCGCGTTCCGCACCGAGCCGCAGCGGAGCAGCAGTGCACCGCCACGCAGACGGGTGACCTCCGTTACGTCACGTGGAGAGGAGGCCGATGGACGCAGGACGTTGGCAGCTGAGGGAGACCGGGTAGCTGTGAGCGGACGCTGCAGGACGGAGTGGGGAAACTCTTATAGGTACAGAGGAGGAGGTGACTGGGTGGAGGTGAGCGACATTGCGATAGGACTTGGCAGAGGAAAGGAGGGAGGAGAGAGACGAACGACGGAAGTGTTCTGTAAAAAATGAACAAGACACCCTTAGACCTAAGTCATATACAGCTTGAGCTGAGATACGGTCAGATGAGGTGAGGTATTGAGGGGCGTGCTCGCTTTATCCTCTCGAATCTAGAGTCTTGATGCTCCACGATGTCGATATGAGATAATGATAATGGACGTGTAGCTAGCATAAGCTGCAAATATTATTCCACCATACGATATGATTCGGTGAATGGTTGGACGACAGATGCGTAAAGATGTTGCATGATGAAGCTCATTGCCAGTCATTTCATCCGTTTCAGCGAACACGTGATGACGGAGTGATGATGCATCATTTACGATGCAGATAAGGACTTCGTACCCAGCCTACTCCACCTCTTATCGAACACTTCCCTCACAGCTGGCAGTAGCGCCTCTCATGTCTTACGAGACATGAGTCCCATTGCACCGCAACAGACACTGGGACAGCCTAGTATGTTTCTATTTTTCTTTGGTGAACAACTAACTTTAACGCGCTATCGAACAAGGATGCCGCACGCTTGCATTTCCGTAGGAGAACGTCCTTATCTGGGCATGCTGATTGCCGATCCTGACACCGTGAGAACTGTCGTACCCTGCGACCTCACCGCTACAGCTGGCAGCACTGCCCCCGTAAACCAATCCACCGGTGCCGTATAGGCGTGAAACGTCAGGTCCGGAACGCAGCAGGCCCGGAATGGACGGGAGCGGCGCGGGCACCCCCGTAAAGGGCCGTTTATGATCCGACAGGATGGTAGGAGTGCAGCTCGTAAAACTTGAGATAAACTGAGCGACAGGATTTTGTAAAGGCCGGGCTCAGATGTCGGTTCACGTGGACTCGTATAAGCTGTAAGGTTCATGATCTGCGGAAGATGCGATCGATCGAATGCTTCGCTCCGATCGAGTCGTGCGGTGCCGGGATAAACGGAGGCGGGTAGCGTCCGTGAGTAGCGGTGAACGGTGATAATATGCTATCTTGACAAAGATACACTTTGAGAAACAACAAGTCAGTAGACAAAAGACCAGCAGCAGACAGATACGACCACCGTTGAAATGTCCCGTTCCAGAAGGGACATACATAGGTATTTTACCTACAAGCTTTAGGTCGGCACAGGTCAGACGGACACATCAGGGGACGTTGGACCGTCTCGAGCCCGCTCCAGGTCCCCGGGAGGACCACTGCCGGCCCTGCTGCCCTCCCAGCACGGTACTCACCAGATGGCGTGCAGCAGAAAGAAGAAGGCGCCGGGCACGGCCAGGTCATCACTGCCGATACTCCAGCGGCGCCGGAACGCCACCAGGCCAGGCATCGGGCCGCCTCGCTGGCCACCGAGCCACTGCCGACGGCCGCCGCCGGCGCCGCGACCCGGCCGGCGCGACGCGATCGATGGACCCGCACCGGAGCCGGTCATAAGACCTCAGAGACACCTAGCGTCAGAGGATGAGAAGCACTGATAAGGAACCACGACGCCAGATGGATGTTTGCCATGAGGGTCGCGCGGAGTCTACCCAAGAACGGAAATTAATTGAGTTTGTGTGGTGAGTGGGCTGCTCATTTTTTCAACAACAGTGAAACCGGCAAACGGCACGTAAAATGATCGCTATCGCATAGTGACCACTGACCACGAGGGTGACATATGAGGCCGCCAAAAACGCATGCTTGTGGTCGGGAGTCATAAATGCCATCTCTTCCGTTACCTAATGAGCAAACTCACAGTAAGCGATTAACTCCTACAACCCATTGTCGACTCACGATATAATCGAGGCTGCATAAGGCAAGATTCCGAGAAAAGTAAACACATAAAACTTCGTTCTTTGACTCTCGCGGCCTCTTCGCCGGTCCTAAAATAAAATAAAGAACGATTCAATGACACTAGTGACACCTGTTGGCAGCAGTTGAGTAAAGGTAAAAAGTTTGCTTGTTAGGTTACAATATTTCTAAATTTCTGATATAAATAACTTCTTAATTATTTATTTGAGTAATAATGACAAAAACTTACCAGAAAGATTGCAATAAAATAGCAAATAATATGTCTTAACCTTTATACCACCAGGTGTCTCCTAAACACCCAGGGCCGGTTGTTTATTTTATCATGAATGTGAAATAACAAGTAACAACGTCCATCGGCAAGCTTTGGTCCGGGAGCCGCCCATACGCGGGGTATATTAATTTTGCGAGGTGAGGGAACATTTTTCTCCCAAGTGTCTCTTGCGACATAACAATGTTGTTCCCTTCGCTTGTTTTAGGACATTGAGTAATGGTATACGCGACGTTCTACTTCTTTGCGGCTGCGCCACATTGAGTGCTATTTTGAAATTTTTGCTTTATGCGGTTAATTTATTTCATATGCGATATTCCCTTCCTCATCCTGATTACCCTATAAAATAAATACCAGGAGCCTGCAAATTAACAAACTTTGCAATATCAGCAACATTAAGATTGCTGTGGTGTACGGGACACTGCGACCGCCGGTTCATGTCTCCGCAATGCTGCACGGAAAATGCATGGAGTGATGTGGGCCATTGGTCATTGGTGGTACTGTGCTGAACCTTTGTGCTGTTGCAACACTGTTGGCAAAAAAAAATGCAAAGGAGACACTTGGACTGGCCAGGGAAGAGCTGACATTTGTTGCTTAATTGCTGCTTCACAAGTGGAAGCTTACATTAGCAAAACTTCATGGTCTAGTTACATGTCATCTAATCAGCCCACCAATCCTACATTTTTTGCAATTCTATTTTGCAATTCTACATTGGTTTGCAAATTGAAATGAGGCCATATAATAAAAGAGTGCTCTCTTTTTAATTTGTGGAGCCCCAGAAACCATCATTACTTACAATATTTTTGGCACAAATCTACTACATGTCAAGCTCTACCCCAGGCCCAGGCACCACTTCTTTCTCTCAAGCTGTTTATGCTTCCATTATATCAGCTTTGAATTAAAAAGCAATGTGAGTAAAGGTATTTAGCTGATCAATTTGATGGCATTATTAGTTGCTGTGACAGCGCTGAAGGTTAGCTTGTTTGACAGGGTTTGTTAGGTTACCTTTAGTTAGGTTGGGTTAGGTCCGATTAACATTTGTTTTGTTTTATTCATAAAAAGGCTTGTTGAATCCTTCATGCTTTGCTCGAGCCTGTGCCCTGTGACATCAGTTTTATCACTGAAATGTTTTATTCTGTTCTTGATAACTTGTTTCCATACAACTAGCTTGAAATTTTACCTTTTTGCTGGATTATTTGGCAAGTTTAGTGTTTGTGGTGATTTTGTATGGTTACTTGGTGATTTCTGATCATATAATAATGCTAGAATTGTTATGCATGCACCTTGCATTTGTAGCTATTTTCACCTTTGTGAAAATGGTCTTGTTTGATGTGGGCCAACCAATGTGGATTTCTAGCCTGGTTGGCACTGGCTGGTGCAGATGTGCCGCCCCAGCTAGTGCATCTTGTCGACCCTGTTGCCATACTTAGTTTGGCCATGAGGTGTCAAGTTAGTTCAGGTATGGTTAGGTTAGTTTGGATTAGATATGCTATGTTTTCCCAAAAGCATGTTTAAAATACTTGGTGTGCCACTTGGTGCAGATCTAACATAAGTGACACTTTTTAGATAAAAGTCCAGGGATGCGGAGCCGTGGAAATTTCAGACGGCTCCGGCTCCGGCTCCGGCTTCGGAGAAAAAAATCGGCTCCGGCTCCGGCTCCGGCTCCGGTTGAAATGCCATGGCGGCTCCGGCTCCGGCTCCGGCTCCGAGTAAAATGATCCGGCTCCGGAGTCCGGCGGCTCCGGCTCCGGCGGCTCCGGCTCCGGCTTCTACTCAGTACATCCCCTATGCGATCAATTAAATACGGGTGGAAGAAAACAGGCGATGGGATTGGTACACGTTGCTTCTGTATTTGTATAACAAGGTTATTTTGAATACCACATTGTTTTACGTCTTGTACTGTCAAACCGAACTAGGTAAATAATTGTTTCCTCTTAAGAAAAGGAGCCGGAGTCGCCCCCTTTTTTGACGGCTCCGGCTCCAGCTCCGGCTCCGGGCTATATTGTTTCACGGCTCCGGCTCCGGCTCCGGCTCCGGGTAAAATATGCCGGCTCCGGCGGCTCCGGCTCCGGCTCCGGCTCCGGCTCCGCATCCCTGTATCCATAATTAAACTAATTCTAAACCTGTGTAACACCTATTTCATAGCTACTTAGCACCTACCTAACACCTCACAGTAAGTGAGGGACCTAAACCTACCTATAACCCAAACCTTGCTGGAAGATTATATCACAGTTCACATACATTATGACAAAAAAACCTGAGATGGTATGGAAAGCTAAAGTGATTTTGCCACATTTTATTCTAGGGTTTTTGGTGAAGCATGCCTGTCTTTTTCTAAAAAAAAAAATACAATTTCAAATAGCATGCGCAGAAATAGTCAAAAATAGCCATATGGTTAGAATATGCAAAAAACAATGTTAAAAATGTCATGTAAAGAATCGGCCTAATGGCACACCACCAACTGCCACCATATATATCTCAACAAATGACAGGGTTAAGTATGCCTTAAACACCATACTCTAAGTTGTATGCTCAGAAATATTAAAACTGATGTGGTCGCTCACAAACCCTCAAAATATTTTTTATCCGTACATGACGAAGAATCCTAACCACACACCAATAACTGACACTTGACAGTCACTGTCACACAAATGCCAGGACAGATGGTAGCATTCCAGAAATTTCCATTTAAACCTTTGCTGACCTAACTAGACCAACCAAAGCATTAAGGTACAATAAGCATAATCGATAAATACACAACATGATAGATAATACGCCATAAACATGTGGTACCCCATGACTCTCCTGTCTGCGCATCTAACCCCCGATCTATCGCTGCCTGTAGGGCGACCGTCATGGCGTCCGACAAGGTGACGCTCGAGGATGCTCTCTCCAACGTGGAGGTGCTCGAAGAACTCTCGCTGCCCGACCAGCAGCCCTGCATCGAGGCGCAGGCCTGCTCGGTCGCCTACCATGCCAATTTTGACACCAACTTCGAGGACCGCACCGCCTTCGTCAGCGGCATGGCCAAGTACATCGAGGAGGCTACTGTGCACGCGAATCTGGTGAGCAGGCTGGGGAGTGAGGGGTGGCACTGATGGGGTCCAGCACTGCAAGTGGCATTGCTCTGAGTGAATGGTATTACGCATGACTTTCTGCAACAGCTACAGCAGCAATGATACTAGGAATGGTTATTCATGACCTCCAAGAATGTGCTATTTTTCCCAGTCGCTGTAGGACGTCCTCTCAAACAGTCCTGTTGCTGTATATTTACCGCCCTTCACCAAGCTGATAAGTCATTGTCTCGCAACAATTACCACCTGAGCGTTCCCTCCACCCGGCCCTTCATCACGCCCTGTGACCGTGCCGCCCGCAGAACGAGCTGCTGGAGGAGGGCCACCAGCACGCCGTGATGCTGTACACGTGGCGGTGCTGCTCGCGCGCCATCCCGCAGCCCAAGTCGAACGAGCAGCCGAACCGGGTGAAAATCTACCAGAAGACGGTGGACGTGCTCGGACCAGAGGTGGACAAACTGCTCAACTTCATGTACTTCCAGGTACGTCGGAACTGCAGTCCGAGCACGTGTTAAAATGGTGCTGATGGCAGAGGACTGATTATTGTTTACTTTTTTACACTCGATGCTTGCAAGCTTGGAGGTCGCTAATGTTCCAGCGAGACGCTCTAGCGCTCTAATATGATGCACTTAGCGTCATGGTGTGTCGAATGTCTTACATTACGTTTGCAATATGCATTGCATATGCAGTCCCCGGATCGTCTTGAGCCTGGATTGATGACGCGGGGTAGTATCACCAAAACGTATTCTTTCCGCCGGTAATACGGGACGTGCGCTACCAAAATTTGGAAGACAGCGCTTAGAACATTGCACATATTTAGGCCGCGGCACGAAGCATATCAGTCTGGTTTGATAGTGGCTTCGGCAAATTCAGTGCTCCGTGCTTGCTAACTGTACATCACTCAATTAGAGCTGTCATTGTGCGTCCTCAGGTCTCGTGTGTCTCTGACCTGACCGTCTTCCATAATCCATCGCCACGGATATCGTCTGTTGCCGCTTTCCCCCATACACACACACTGACTCCGCTAACTTTACCCCACCCCGCAGCGGAAGGCCATCGACCGCTTCTCGGCCGAGGTGAAGCGGCTCTGCCACCAGGAGAAGCGCAAGGACTTCGTCTCCGAGGCCTACCTGCTTACTCTCGGCAAGTTCATCAACATGTTCGCCGTGCTCGATGAGCTAAAGAACATGAAGTCGAGCGTCAAAAATGACTACTCGACCTACCGAAGGTGAGACGACTCTGGTGACGGCTCGAAACGGTGTGAAAATAATGTATTCTTTCATTTAAACACAAGCCTATTACTAGAGCAGTGGGGGTTTTGTATGTCATGAATATTCAGACACATAAAACTGGGAAGCGTCGTAGTGGTTTTCACGTCACATTACCACTCATCGCAATAAATGTTGATATTTTTATAAGAGCGGCGATGTCTCGCACTACCCTCAGCGACTTTTTGTTGGTAACCCGGCTCGACCGTGTGCGTTCCGCAGGGCGGCTCAGTTCCTGAAGGTGATGGCCGACTCTCAGACGCTGCAAGAGTCGCAGAACCTCTCCATGTTCCTGGCCACGCAGAACAAAATCCGCGACACGGTCAAGGAGAACCTGGAGAAGATCATCAACTACGAGGAGCTGCTGGCAGACGTGGTCAACATCTGCGTACACATGTTCGAGACCAAGGTATCGTCCAGATCGTGTGTGGAGCAAAGCGCGAATATGGATGGTAGTTTTGGAACACCCACTGTAAATTTCGATTTGTTTGCTTTGCAGGATTTCCAGGTAGTATCTATATTCGAATTTTCCTATAATCTCAGAGTTTATATAACAAAACAGAAAATTGTGATGAAGCGAGCAAGACCATTTCTTGATCGACTCTTTCAGCCGACCTGACCTCCCTCATCTCTCCGGCAGATGTACCTGACGCCGCAGGAGAAGCACATGCTGGTCAAGGTGATGGGCTTTGGCCTGTTCCTGATGGACAGCGAGCAGTGCAACATCAACAAACTCGACCAGAAGAAACGCATCTGCATCAGCAAGATCGACAAAATATTTAAGGCAGGTCAACTGACGGCATTGCTCGTTATTGGGTGGGTGGTTGCAACGATGGGTACCGTTACAGGGACGGACTTGTCGTAATCTCGGTTGATTTATAGCGTCCCGAAAGTCATGTGTTTCAGTTTCTAGGCTGAGTGTCTATGCCACGTCAATCTGGCTCTAACGCGTGACGCCCCCGTCGACAGGGTCTGGAGGTGGTGCCGCTGTTCGGCGACATGCAGATCGCGCCCTTCAACTTTGTCCGACGCAGCAAGAACTTCGACCCGGCCAAGTGGCCGCTGGCCAACACGAACCAGACGCACCCGCAGTCGGACCTGCTGAGCAGCCTGCAGCAGATCCGCGACGACCACCTCAAGTACATCTCCGAGTTAGCCCGCTACAGTAACGAGGTGAGGAGACGGATGGCGTGAGGGTGTCAGGACCGCCCGCCCACCGCTTGGCAGGCCCAGAAGGGGCTACGTCATAAATGGCATGTCGACAATACTGCGAGTGGTTGTGTGAGCTTCAGACAAAGTGCGCGGGAGGCATGGTTTTTTCGACCTGCTGGACTGAACCCATTTTAGTATCTTGGCCGATTTTATTATCATATTTTGTGATCGTGGATTTGTGAATTCTTTACGCCTAGTCTGTTGGTGCCAGATAGCTTAGGTTTGCCGCTGGAATGTTATGTTTGTCATTTACGCCAATTCAGTCTCATTGTGCTAATTGCTATGTGTGTTACCTATGACGCCTACGCCTCCTCGCCAGGTGACGACCACGTACAAGGACTCTCCGCGCACGGACGCCGAGAACCGGGCCATCTGCGACCTTGCGCTGCGGGGTCTGCAGCTACTCTCCGAGTGGACTTCAGTGGTAACCGAGCTGTACTCGTGGAAACTCCTCCACCCCACCGACCACCACCAGAACAAGGAGTGTCCCACAGAGGCCGAGGAGTACGAACGGGTGAGGAGGGGAGGGGGACTAATACTAGAACAGGGAGTGTCCCACAGAGGCCGAGGAGTACGAACGGGTGAGGAGGGGGGGGGGGGCAGGGACCCGACAGTAGAACAAGGAGTGCCCCACAGAGGCCGAGGAATACGAACGGGTGAGGGGGAGGGGGGGGACTAATACCAGAACAAGGAGTCATGTCCCACAGAGGCCGAGGAATACGAACGGGTGAGGAGGGGACGGGACCTGACAATAGATCAGGAGTGTCCCACAGAGGCCGAGGAATACGAACGGGTGAGGAGGGGAGGGGGGGGGACTAATACCAGAACAAGGAGTGTCCCACAGAGGCCGAGGAATACGAACGGGTGAGGAGGGGAGGGGGGGGGGGACTAATACCAGAACAAGGAGTGTCCCACTGAGGCTGAGGAATATGAACGTGTGAGGAGGGGAGGGGGGGACTAATACCAGAACAAGGAGTGTCCCACTGAGGCTGAGGAATATGAACGGGTGAGGAAAGGGGAGGGACTTGCCACTGGAGCGTGGACGGAGACGGATGATGAGAGAGAGAGGAGGCCGGAGATCCAGAATTAGAAGTGACAATTATCTGCAATGGAGGACCGAAAAAATCCATTAAGCGTAGGGGTAAAGACATTGCATTTGGCCAGCCGCATGCCAATCTTGCAGAATATTGAGCTGGACGCAGTCTGAAAAAATACGACAACTTGGAAAAAGGTCGCACATGAACTGTAACTTCCCCATTCACCAGGGTATCGGGTAGATGTAACTGTACTTATTTTCTCCGTACTATCCGTTCTGTCGCGTTGCTGATGCTCTCCATCTGTTCGCCCACCAGGCGACGCGCTATAACTACACGGATGACGAGAAGTTCGCGCTGATCGAGGTGATCGCCATGATCAAGGGCCTGCAGGTGCTGATGGCCAAGATGGAGACGGCCTTCAGCGACGGCATCCGACGCAACATCTACGCCGAGCTGCAGGACTTCATCCAGCTCACTCTGCGAGAGCCGCTCAGGAAGGTCATCAAAAACAAAAAGGACCACGTCCGCACGTGAGTGGGCTAAGTTCAGGAGTGGGCGTAGCTCATCTCTGCTGGTGCCTCTCAATGTTTATTTATTTATTTATTGCACTTCATCAGATCGTTCCGCTAAAATAGGGCTATTCTCCGATCATCGTCATGACAATATGCATAGGTATGAAAAAAAACACACATACACACACCAGATAAATGAGAGGTACAATGACGGCATAGCAGTGACAAAGTACACTATCACGGCATAGACCTACCCGACTGCGTTACTCTGGCGCAGTAAGTCCTTCATCTTGGCCTTAAACGTTGCTACACTCAGACCAGCCAAGCCGTTTTGCAGCGCCATTCGATTGTACAGGGAGGCGGCTCGGTGCACAAATCGACGTTTGCCATGGTTGTTTTTCGCACGACATACGGCTAAAAGGTGCGACTGTCTGGTGTCTCGACACACGAGCTCATGGTTATAGGACATATAAGAACGCAGTACATCAGGCTTCCCCGACTTAAGAATGCCATGCATCAGTGACATGTCCACATGCGCTAAAAACTCGGGTACACGCAGCCATGCAAGTTCGTCCAGCACATCAGAAACATGATCAAATTTTCGCCGCCCGGAGATAACTCTGGCTGAGAAGTTAAAAACTTTCTGTAATCTGGCTGTGGTCGTGCGATTGGCGCTACCGTATACAGGAGCACAGTACCGCACATGGGACAAAACGAGAGAGTCGACAAGCCGAGGTAAAATAGAATGTGGAACAATGTGTCTGATGTGCATGAGACCGATAAGAATGCCGAAGCAGCGGTTGATGATGGTGTTGATGTGCGCTTCCCAGGTGAGCTCGGGGTCCATGACCACACCAAGGTTTTTGTGTGGTGCTGTGTGGTGCTGTTCAATGTGGTGCTTGGACTTAGTTTCCTTTCGCGTTTTTTGTTCTTAGATATGAGGGAATAGACGGAAGGCCCATAGCCATCCATTCGTTCATTTGGACAAAATTGTTTAAAGACATCCACATTGCTGCAATGCCTCTTCCAGTGAATCTCATAGTTTTTTTTTCTAAATGGGATTGAACTCTTGCGGCTCAAACTGTTAAATGTCTGTAAAACCCAGAGTCTAACCTCCCCGCCCGGTGTCTGTGTCTTCAGCATCCTGACGTCGATCCGCGAGACGTGTGCCGACTGGCAGCATGGAGTCCAACCGCACGACGACCCCATCCTGCGCGGCAAAAAGGACCCCGACGGCGGCTTTGGCATCAAGGTGCCGCGCCGCAGGGTCGGTGAGTAGAGCCCGGGGATCGGTGCGGGGTACGGCACACGGCAGCCGGACCGGGGAGAAGACGGCAGAAGGTTGAAATAATGGAAGAGTATCGGACAGGGAGGGATACTGGGCTGATCTGCTGTTAGTGCTGTTAGACAGTATGATATGTCGAATGGTGCTACAGTCGCTCATCACGTCCAGTCTGCCTGTCTCGTCAGTGATAACCAGCTGTCACCCAGACGTGATATCCCCCTGTCTTTCCCGTCAGAACTCAGGCCCGTCTTCCACGCAGCTGTACATGGTCCAGTCGCTGATAACCAGTCTGTGTGTCCCGGCAGGCCCATCCTCCACGCAGCTGTACATGGTCCGCACCATGCTCGAATCGCTGATCGCCGACAAGTCGGGCGGTAAGCGCACGCTGCGGAAGGACATCGACGGCCCTTACCTGCTGCAGATCGACCAGTTCCACAAGACGTCCTTCTTCTGGCCCTATCTGCTCAACATCAGCGAGTACCTGCAGCAGTGCTGTGACCTCTCGCAGCTCTGGTACCGAGAGTTCTACCTGGAGATGACCATGGGAAAACGCATCCAGGTGAGTTCAGTGGCTGCCGTGAGCGGGGAGATGTATTATGTGAGGGAGGTCGGGAGTCTTTTTGTGTGGAAGGAGACTCCTGCCTGCTGCAGCTGGCAACTTTGTTCCTATTTTGAGTTGCTGGTTTGCTATTGCTGCGTAGGTTTTTTTTTAGTGTGACGTTTCTTTGTTTTGTTGATTTAATTTCCTTGTTTTTGATATTGATCTGATCTTCATTAACGTTTATGGCTAGACCAGTGGTTGGGCTGGTTTACCTACCAATTCATTGTTTGACCTATTCTGTACGTGATCGATTATGTCTGACATTTGCCAGGATGTTTGATGCTTTCTTGAACCTGCCTACCTGTTTACCGCATTTATGTTGCGCCTTTTATTTCGCAATTTGCCGTTGTTTTGTTTTGTTCATCCTGTCCACAGCATCTTACAATAGTTTAGTTTTAGGTTAGCCAGAAGTGCCCCAACAATAGTTCACGAGCTGGTTCCTCGGACGCAGCGTTTGGTCACCTCTCCCCTGGCTAATTGGTCTTAGGGCCCTCTGTTCAGGTCTCTGGGCTCTCCATTCGGGTCTCTGGCCTCCGTCTGCTAATGTCTTTGGACTTCCTGTTAAGGTTTCTGGGCTCTCGGTCGAGGTCTCTGGACTTTCTGTCAATGTCTCGGGGCTCTCTGTCAAGGTCTCTGATTTCTCTGTTTGGGTTCTCTGGTCTCCGTCAACCTCCGTGGGCTCTGTCTGGGTCTATGGACTCTCTGGGATCTCCACGGCTCTGTCGATCCGTCCGGGGACCCCAGCCACTTTAGACCTACCCATTACTGTCTGCTCGTCTGTCTGTCCGTCCCGCTGCGCTGCTTCTTTCCCTAATCTGTGTCGTCGCTGCGCCGATGTAGACGCTAATGTAGGACCGGCCGCTGTCCCAGATCCAGATCGGCCCGGCGTTTAAACGTTGAAGTCGCAGCTTGTTGTCATCTTTTGCAGACAGTTTGAAGCGATATTATTGGCTACTTTTAGTACCTACATAAACTGGCTGCTTGCAGTGCTCTTAATGCTATTGAATTTCTGCTAGAATTCAGCGTGTCGATGTTGCTTTTATTTAATTTCCCTTTTTATTTTAGTGTGCATTGATGCGTTTATTTGCTGGCCAGGATATTGTGCGCAAGAAGTTTTTTTTAAATATCGTTATTAAAATATGGCAAAAATTTTGCCTTCCGATTGGAACTGTGATAACACTGATAAGACCATAGAGTATCTCATTTTCCTTTTCAGCTTAAATATTTCTTCATGATATTTTGTTCAGAGTATGAATTCCAAATCTTCCTTCACAACAAGGGAATGTGATTTGTCCAAGCTTCAGCTCTCTCAAACAATGAAAACGAAGTTTAGGACGATTCACGTCTTGGGACAATTCACGAATGACGTTAGTCGTCATAGATGCTTATTGTCACGCTTTTATATCTTCGTCACCACCGCTTTCTCTGTCATTGTCATTCATTGCTATAAGTTGCTGATTAATTACTGAAAGTAAAAAGAAAAGTAAATAAAGGAGCACCCATAGCGTGGGTGTCCATCGAGCCCCGCTGCGCTCTCCCGCCCCGCCCCGTCCGGCCCGTCGGCCGTGGAGCAGTAACTGAGCCGTGTGGCGTCTTTGCTCTCTCCCCGTGATCGCGCAGCACTGTGCCGCGCCGCACGAACACAACGACGAGTGCAGCAATCTGGTGGTGATGGAGAAACGTATTCAGGTCAGCGTCGGCCGCAGCGGGCCGCCGGCGGACCGGTAGCTAGCGGCGCATGGCGGCGGGGCGGGCCCGGGCGGCCCCCAGAGCCGGGACGCTGCCGGCGGGATCAGTGGGTAGGGCTGGAGATGTCAGGGGGAGTGCGGTGGCAGCGGGTGTGTTCCGCGTCAGATGCGAGGTTTAGCAGCCGCAGCGTCTGACGCAGAGGACGTCCGCTGTTCGGCCCTCTCTCACATCTCGCCCCGCTGACTGCTGAGTCCGCCGGCGCCGTCCCCGGCTGGGGTACCACCCGGCCCGCCCGGCGGCTGCCCACACCCACACCCACACTGGCCTACACGCGCGGGCTGCTGCTGCTGCTGCGTGCGCGCTCACCGCCGACCGGTCCTCGCATGTCGTGGAAGTAGTAGGGCCTGCGTGCGGCCTCCGTCACTCTCCCTCCCTCCCTCTCACCTCTCTGGCCGGCCCCGCTGGCCGACGGCGGTAGCGCAGAGTCGAGCTGTGTCGGTGGTGGCGCGCTACGCTGGGCTGTGGTAGCTGAATGGGTAGTCGGCAGCATGCTGTGGTAGCTGGGTTGTAACAGGGGCGCGATAGCACAGCTGTTGCGCTGCTCCTGATAAGTGTTCTAGGCCCCGTGTGCCGTGTGTGTGTGTGTGCTTCTGTGGGGTGTGCTGGGTGTGCCGTGAGACGTAAGTGTGCTGTGTGCTTGATATGTGTGCCAAAGGGAAGTGCTGTGATCGCTTCAGCGGAGTGTGCTGTGCTTTGTGTGTAATACATAGTGTGCTGTGTGATGTGCAGGCTGTGCTTCTTTCTGTACTGTGCTGTGCTGCGTCGTCCGTGTGTTTTATGCTATCGTGTTTAATGTGTCTGTTGGGTTGTGCTGTACGGTGCTTTTCGTTTTATTGTGTTGTTTTCTGTAATACTAGTAAGTATGCCCCCTGCCTTCGACCCGCTCCACCTACATCAGCCCTGCAGGCAGCTTCCACATCCCACAGCCAGTTCTCCAACCCAGTGCACTTGAGCATTGTAAACTGACTCCCGTTTTCTGTGTGACGTATTGTCTACGTGTCTGTGTCGTCAGCCCTTGCGATATTTTTCAACTTACGGTGCTTATTGCATTTTAGCGCTATTTCTAGCAGTTAGTGATTTTTGTCTAATATTAATTGGCTCCCAAGTTTTGGGGGTATGTAAGTCAGCATTTGCCGAATGCCTTTTACATGGAACCATCACGTTGAAAAGCTTTTCTGGTTCCATTACCATTCAAATAACACACTGACATGTCGCATAACAATGCCTTAACGCTAACTGACCGCTCCGCCGGGCACTAATGAACTATTTGACATGGAGCACGCCACTTCTGCTACTCGTCGGTTTGACTGTCCTAACACCTACGTGACTAACCTTTGTATGTCTTACTCTTGGCCCTGGTATGTTCCAATATGGCGGTCTCTCGGTCCCTCACGGTGTCTCGCTGTACCATCGCCTCTCACCCCTCGGTGTTATGCGGCTCTTGCTCTGTAGCTAGTTGATCACAGTATGTCACTGAGCACTACCTACTAGTGGTGTCAGTCGGAACTTGAATCTTCGGAATTCCGATTTTGTCCAATGTCCAATTCGGAATTCGGTTGGACAATGGCAGCAGGCTTTGGACAACTTTGGACAATCGCTTGCTACACCTCAACATTTTTAAAAAGTAGTCGTGTTTAACATTGATTGGCTATTAGAAAGCTCAGCTTTCGATATGATTAACACTTTTGAGCTTGTAACGGTACATGAAAAGCAAATTAAATAACAGTGTTGAGTGTTAACTATTGCGTAGGTGTCGGACATCTTTGGACAAATGGCTGGCTTGGACATTTTTGGACGGACAATCGACGCAAGCATTGGACATTGGACGGACTTTGGACATACGTTTTCTGAGATTGACATCACTACTACCTACCCGCACTGCTCCCCTCCTCTACCCTCCTCCGCCGCTCTCCCTCCTCACTCTGTCCGCTCCGTTAGGACCTGCGTTGTGTGCTGTCGTGTGTCCCGAGCCGGTGACCTGACCGGTGACCCGCGGTGTCTGCAGTTCCCGATCGAGATGTCGATGCCCTGGATCCTCACCGATCACATTCTGCGCAATAAGGAGCCGTCCATGATGGAGTGAGTACTGAGTCACCCTGTTGACTCTCTAAGATCGCTATATAACTGCTTCTGAAATGAGAACTAGGTTCAGCATTTCTCGTTGGTGTTTCTCATCAATGACCGGCCTGTCTGTCTTCTTTGTCTTTGCGCCGGCTCGCCTCCCCCCGCGCATGCACACGTGCCGTAATTCTCGGGACTCGCTGATACTCTAACGCTCCCTCGCTCCTTCTCCCTCCCTCCATCGGCGTCAGGTGCGTGCTCTACCCGCTGGATCTCTACAACGACGCCGGCTACTACGCGTTGACTCGCTTCAGGAAGCAGTTCCTCTACGACGAGGTCGAGGCCGAGGTCAACCTCTGCTTCGACCAGTTCGTCTACAAGCTCAGCGAGCAGATCTTCGCCTACTACAAGAACCTGGCCGGCAGGTGGGACACGGGCACGCTTTAAGCCGGTGGAGATGTTGGCAATCTGAGGATCAGTGAATTATCGGTGTGTGATATTTCTAAAAGAGCTAGGTTTCTACCAAATTAATTATTGGCTTCTTGACAAGATGATTTTTCATCCCAGTGTTTACCATAGAAGCAGTTGCAATTCCCGTGCCTATCTCGTGGCGACTGACGAGTAATAATTTTATGCACCGCTTACCCATTCTCTCAGTTCACTATGTTTTTTCTAGCGACATTCCTCCTGCCTTCTGATCTCTCCCTTTCCATCTTCCCGTTTTATCTCTTGGCTGCCTTTTTGCCTCATCCTCGTCCAATTCACTGACTTCCCCTACCCTACTGACTACAAACTCCCCTGCAGCATCCTGCTGGACAAGCGGTTCCGCATGGAGTGCGCCCTGCTCGGCACCCGGCTGCCGTACCCGCCGGCCAACCGGTACGAGACGCTGATGAAGCAGCGGCACGTCCTGCTGCTCGGTCGCTCCATCGACCTCAACAAGCTCATCAGCCAGCGCATCAACGCCAACATGCAGAAGTCGCTCGACCTGGCACTGACGCGCTTCGAGGCCAGCGACCTCACCGGCATTGTGGTGCGTGTGCTGCGGGGGAGGGGAAGGGGGAGCGCGGGATATGTAGAAAAAGACGATGGAGGTAGGACAATGACAATGTGCGCTTGAGTTCGCTCTTAGAATGTGTTGAAAATTTAGCCTCTGCGGTGCACCGCGACGACAATGGGGTATTTAGAGAGGGATAATCGTAATATTTCTCGCAAGAGGAAACATGAAATAGCCCGTCTGATTACAAGTGTTCTTTACTGTGTAAAGTTCATGCACCTGTGCCGTATGTCTTATCGCGCGTCTGTCTGTACTTCTGTCGACTTAATCTCGGACACCATGTCCCATCCTCAGGAGCTGGACGGCCTGCTGCGCGTCAACCAAGGCCCTGCTAGTTTGTACCCCCGTGTGTGTTAGTGCCTGTTCCCGTCCCCTAACGTCCGGTCTCATCATCAGGAGCTGGACGGCCTGCTGCGCGTCAACCACCTGGCGCACAAGCTGCTCTCGGAGAACCTGGCGCTGGACGACTTTGACGCCATGCTGCGCGAGGCCAACCACAACGTGCTGGCGCCCTACGGCCGAATCACGCTGCACGTGTTCTGGGAGCTCAACTATGACTTCCTGCCCAACTACTGCTACAATGCCGCCACCAACAGGTAGGTGCGGCGGCGGGACGGCAGGGGAGAGAGCCCTGTCCCTGCCCAACTACTGCTACAACGCCGCCACCAACAGGTAGGTGCTGCGGCTGGAGGGTAGGGGAGAGAGCCCTGCCCAACTACTGCTACAACGCCGCCACCAACAGGTAGGTGCGGCGACGGCTGGAGGGTAGGCCGGAGAGAGAGAGAGAGAGAGAGAGAGAGAGAGAGAGAGAGAGAGAGAGAGCCCTGTTCCTGTGCAACTACTGCTACAACGCCGCCACCAACAGGTAGGTGCTGCGGCTGGACGGCAGGGGGAGAGAGCCCTGTCCCTGCCCAACTACTGCTACAACGCCGCCACCAACAGCTGGAAGCCGGTGCGGCGGCTGTGGGGAGTAGGGACAGAGCTGAGAGCGGCAGGGGCGGATCCAGGAAAACTCCAAGGGGAGGGTCATGAATCGAAGTGGTGCCCCTACCTATACCCAAAATTAAAAACTCAACGGATTTCGTCCACTTCATTTTGGTGGTGCCCCCATTTTCAGTTTTTTTATTTTTATTTTTTATTTTTAGTCAGTATCTTAACTCTTAGCCACAACCACATTTACCAATTGTAAGCAAGTATATATGAATGTGCTATGTGTATATGTATATGTTGTGGACGCTGAGTAGTGAGTACTTACCAGGAACGTTATCAGGTAAGCAAATCGTTGTCAGTCCGACGAACTTGACACTGGCGTCTAAAGGGTCTGTCCTTGACACTTCAGGCTTTCCAGGGACACCACAAACCTGTCAGGGGCACCTATGGCCTTGTAGGGGCGCCACAGGCCCGCCAGGAAGCAGGGGCGCCACAGGCCCGCCAGGAAGCAGGGGCACCACAGGCCTAGCAAGGACACTACAGGCCTGTCAGGGGCACAACGGGCCTGTTGGGCCCATGAGCACCTCTAGGGGCAGGGGCACCACAGTCCTTCCAGGGGCACCGCAGGCCTGTGAGGGGCACCAGCGGCCTAGCAGGGGCACCACTGGTCTATCAGGGGCACCACGAGCCTGTCATAGCCAGGCATCTCAGGCTTGTCAAGGCCCAGGGGCACCACAGGTCTGTGAGGGGCACCAGCGACCTAGCAGGGGCACCAGTCAACACAGGTCTGCCAGGGGCGCCACAGACCTGCCAGGGGCACCACAGACCTGCCAGGGGCATCAGAGGGCTGCCAGGGGCACCACCGGCCTTGCAGGGGCACCTTGGGCCTTCAGGGGCACCACGGGCCTGCCGAGGGGCACTTCAGACTTTTCAGGGGCACCAGTCCTCTCCGGGCGCAGGGGCACCAGAGGCCTGCCAGGGGCACCAGCGGCCTAGCAAGGGCACCAGAGGCCTGCCAGGGGCACCACAGGCCTAACAAGGGCACCACGGGCCTGTCAGGGGCACCTCAGGCTTGTCAGGGCCCAGGGACACCACAGTCCTTCCAAGGGCACCGCAAGCCTGTCAGGGGCACCAGAGGCCTGCCAGGGGCACCACAGGCCTAGCAAGGGCACCACTGGCCTGTCAGGGGCACCTCAGGCTTGTCAGGGCCCAGGGGCACCACAGTCCTTCCAGGGGCATTACAAGCCTGTCAGGGGCACCAGAGGCCTAGCAAGGGCACCACAGGCCTGCCATGGACACCACAGGCCTGCCAGGGGCACCACCGGCCTTGCAGGGGCGCCTCAGGCCTGTCAGGGGCACCACGTGCCTGCCGGGGACACTTCAGGCTTGTCAGGGGCGTTACAGTCCTGTCAGGGCCCAGGGGCACCAGGCCCGTGGTGTCCCTGCTAGGGCTGTGGTGCCCCTGGCGGTCCTGTGGTGCCCCTGTCAGGACTGTGATACCCCTGATAGGCCGGTGGTGCCCCTGGCAGGTCTTTGGGCCCCCGGGCCTCAAGGGGGGGGGGGGGCAATGACCCATGTGACCCCCCCCCCCTTGGATCCGCCCCTGGAGAGCGGCGTCCGACGGATTGCGTGAGAGCGTCTGCTGTAAAAAGGTGGTGTTCGTTCGCGTTTGTAGTCTCCGACTTGCCCGTGCTTGTGTTTATGTATTCGGGTGCCAGCATTGAGCGGTGACCTTGTGTATGGATGACTTTGACTTTGAAGGATTTCAGGAAGTGAGGCCTCTTCATGAGGCCTGTAGCTCCCATACGTAGTTTTGTTTTGAATAGGCCATGTGTTTATCTCAGTCCGGACTTGCGTCTACGTTGAATATCAGTGGGCTTGAAATATGACCTCTTCAGTTAACAGCGTCGCCATTCCAGTTCATACCACTTCTCGCACCAAAACTGATCCAGACTTGATTTAAACGAATTCAAGGACGGCGCAGTCACCACATCTTGCGGTAAGCTATTCCAGTCGTCAATTGCTCTAACTCCCAGATGATGACGTCTCACTGTTTTGACAGCTAAGGGTTTCCTGAGTCGCAGCTGGTGTCCCCTGGTGCGATGCTCTCCTGCTACGGGCTCAAACAATGGGTCCATCTGCATTTTGCCAGTCATGATTTTATACATAGTGAGCATGTCACCTCTTTTTCTCCTGTAGACCAGACTTGGCAAGTTCAACTTCTTAAGTCTGTCCTGGTATGACAGTTGGCGTATTTCTGGAACGAGTCGGGTTGCACGTCTTTGAATTCTTTCAATTTTCTTCTGATCACCGATGTACGTGGGGCCCCAAACGATATTTCCGTATTCAATTATCGGCCGAACTAAGGCTTTATACAGCATGGACATTGCTTTTGAGTTAAGAAAATCAAAGGATTTCCGAATTAGCCCCAGAATCGCATTTGCCTTCTTCATTGCTACTGCCGTCTGATCGTGAAAGGCAAGTTTTTCGTCAACTACGACTCCAAGATCCCTTTCATTGGTGACGCCGTCGATCATGTTCCCTGCTATGTGATATGTGTGCCTTGGATTTCGGTGGCCGAGGTGCAGAGTATGACACTTGTTTGTGTTTAGAGGCAGCTGCCATATAGATGTCCACTTCACAATAGCATCGATATCACTCTGCAGTGCCTCAATATTTTCTTGTGATGTCACATCTCCGTATACCTTGGTATCGTCTGCAAATAACTTCAGTGGTTTTGATACGACAGACGGGATATCGTTGACAAAGATAAGGAAACACAGAGGCCCCAGCACTGAACCTTGTGGGATTCCACTATCCACGCTTTTCCACCCTGATAGTTCACCGTCAAGATTGACCCGCTGTCGCCTCCCTTTCAAAAAGTCTGACATCCACACATGTAGCTTCCCTCTGATTCCATAAGCTGCTAGCTTTTTCAAAAGTCGTTCGTGAGGCACGGTATCAAATGCCTTTCTGAAATCTAGATACACTACATCAACTGGTTTCCCTTGTTCCAACATATTCGTCCAGTCTTCCATGCATGTAAGAAGTTGCGCCTCACATGACTTCTTTGGAAGAAATCCGTACTGGGCGTCTGTCAGTAATCGATTCCCAAGCAGGTGTTCTAGTACAGCATCTCTGATCAGTGACTCCATGATCTTTCCTGGAACGGACGTGAGACTAATCGGTCGATAATTACCGGGGTCTCTGCGACTTCCTTTTTTAAAAATTGGTGTAACAATTGCTTCTTTCCATTGTTTTGGCAGTATTCCACTTTCCAGGGACTTTCGGAAGATCAGGCTAAGTGGCAAGCTGAGAGAACTCGAGAGTTCCTTCAAGACGCGTGGGTGAAACATGTCAGGTCCTGGAGACTTGCTTGGATTTAGCGACACCAGTTTCGTTGCCACAGCTGCTGGGGTTATGATTATGTCTTCAATTGGTTCTCCTTCGTAAACTTCACCAATTTGCGGCATCGTCTCGAGATTTTCTTTCGTGAATACGCTTGAAAAGAACTTATTTAGCACCTCGGCTTTCTCTCTGTCAGTTTCTGCGATCGTTCCATCTCCTCGGTTCAAGCTCTCCACTGTCACTCGGGTCTTCGTCTTAGTCTTCACGTATGCCCAGAAGGCTTTTGGCTTCTCTTTTATCTGCGAAACCAGATTGTTTTCAGACTGCTTCTTCAGCTTTCTGGACAGTGCTCTAAGAGCGTTCCTAGTCTTTCTATAAGTGGCAAAGTGTTGCGGCTGGCCTGTGAGTAAATACCGCTTCCACTGCTTCTCCTTTCTTCTTCTCAAGCGCAGAGCCGAGTCAGTCATGTATATGTTCCTCTTCTTTTTCGATGTTTTTCGACAGGGGACATACTCTTGGAGGATTGCTTGCAGGTGACCGCTAAAGTAATCCCAAGCTTCTTGAACATTTTTATTCTGCAGCACTTCTCTCCAGTCAGTGTTCTCAAGGATGTGACCGATTCTTCTGAAATCTGCGCGGTTATAATCCGGTTTTGGAGTTGAGTCTCGCTTTTCTTCAGTATAGCACAGCAAGTCGAATGAAATGCAAAGATGATCACTCAGCCCAATAGCTGGAAGGTATTCGGTATTGGTGACCATGCCCTCTTCGTTTGTGAAAATGAGATCTAAAATCTCGGATCGCTCGCCTAAGCGATGCCTGGTGTATTGATCTACATGCTGGAAAAGAAAGTTATCGTGAACTAGTTTCAAAAACTGATCTGAGGCATGTCCCGCTTGGTGTATACTTAGCGAGTGGTCCCAATTTATTCCTTTGATGTTAAAATCACCGCAGATTACTAGATGAGTAGCGTTTGCACACACAGCTTGACGGAAAACCTCAGCTATTCCGCAGAGGGATTCTTCTAATCGTCTTGAAGGACTCCTATAGTATCCCCCAAGGAGCAGCCAGTCTCCACAGGTGAGAGGTATTTTCACCCATAAGTGTTCTTCAGTCACGTTTGTCAATTCGTACTCTTGGGACACAATGCCACACTTCGTATAGATGGCGATACCCCGTTTTCTACACTCTTGTGGAATACTTACATCTGGATCAAAATTTAAGAATTCGTTGTATCCAGGCAGCTTGAGAATAGCTCTCGTTATTGCATGTTCCTGTGCCTTAGGAATCACTTCCGTAATCACCAAGATGTCTGGTTCCCTGTTCATTATCATCACTTTCAGCTCTTCCATCTTGTTTGGTAGCTGATCTGCATTGGTATACAGTACTTTGAGTGACTGTTTTTTGCACGCGAGACGCACATCCACACTTTCGCCATTTACCCTCTTAAATCTCCCTCTCTCCGTCTCCCGTTGTAGTCATTCCTGGCTGTGATTATCCGCTGGGTGAGGTTTTCTTTCACATGGAACACCGTCTGAAACAGATGGCCCAGGCAAAGAGGCTGGTCTCTCTGTTGCCGTTTCAGCAACCGATGCGCGGCTTATCGGTGTTCCATCCCTATCTCTGACAACCACTCGGCCTCGTCTGATTTCCACTTCTTCTCCGTTCAGCCTTCTTCTCTTCACTTCATCTCTCAGAGCCTTGTCACGCTGTTGTTCCTGAGGTGTTAGGTCCGGAGATATGTATACGTTGCTGTACTCATGCGAATTACGCAGCTCTCTAGCCATCCTTAGGATGTCCCATTTTGTCGTCTCATCTTGAAGTCGGATAATAAGCAATCTTGGTCTTCCACTTGCACCTTTCCCCACCCGGAAAGCCTGCTCAGCTTTCACAACCAGTCTGAATACATCCCTGCATAGCTTCTCTACTTTGGCCGCATCCCGGCTTGTCCTTTCCGTGTAGGGCACGTTCCAATCCTCTTCGGGGATATTGTGAACCACTATGTTCAGTTTTCGGCGATCCTTTTCAAAACAATCTCCAACAGCACCGGAAATCTCTTTCAGTGGAATTTGTACAGTCGGTTGAGACTTCGGTACATCCAACTTCTTTTCGAGTTTCTTCACGATATCTGCATACAGCGTTTTGTCCGCTCCATTTCTATTTACTGCATGACATGACAGCATGACAGCGGACTATGTGTATTATATATGATGAGGGGGGGGGGGAGGGGGCTGCTGACCGTTTAATTTGTTTTATTTCAGTATGGGACTAGGTGGTTACCGTAATTCACCATTCTTTTCAGGTTTGTGCGCGCCACTGGCCTGGTGTTCTCTGCCGGCGTAAACCGTGAGAAGCCCCCGCAGGCGCCGCATTTCATGCTGTGGGGCAGCCGGGCTCTCAACACCTCCTACAGCAGCATCTACGGCCAGTACTCTGGCTTTGTGGGCGCCCCGCACTTCCGCGCCATCTGCCGACTGCTCGGCTACCAGGTGAGGAGGCGCCACGGGCCAGGGCCGTCTGGCTGTGGTGACTATTGAGCGCTGCGTGGTACAAACGTGTGTAATTAAATGGTGGGGGACTGACCGTAGTTTGGTGGCGTCGTAAGTAGGTTGTGCTCGTAGTAAGAAAGCTGATCATCTGTGTCATTGTTTTGGGTATTTACTTGGTGCTCCTTCGGTCGAGTCTGTTTTTATTCTGCATTTCCTAATCGAGAATACGCGAATTTTGACACTTGAATTGTGCAATGCAAATGGGGGAGATGTTTAATGTGCGTTTCTTTCAATGTCCGTTTCACATGTCTTTGGGAAACTGTCTTACCCCAAAATGCATCTAAGCCGTAAAACGGTTATTTTGGACGCGAACCGCACTTTTGTGGGCGTGAAACCGCGGTACCGGTGGAAACCCCAGACTAGTAAAACGCCTTTTGGGGCGACCAACGGAGCGCGCGAGTGGGTGGGCCTCGCACGTGCGAAATTGCGAGGGGGTGCCTCCAACTAACAATTGCACCCTACCCTACTAACCTATCCTTAGCGATGTGACAAATTTGAGCGCAATCGGCCTAGCCGTTCTCGAGATCTGGGAGTGGCACCCTGCACGTGCGCACGTGCAGAATGGGTCCCAACTGACTTTTGCACGGCACCCTACTAACCGGTTCCAAGCCATGTACCAACTTTCAGCGCAATCGGTTCAGCCGTTCTCGAGATCTGGAATCGACCCTTGCACGTGCGCACGTGCAGCAGCACCCCAACTGTGGCACATGGATATGCATTGCCTAGTGGGTGCCTACCTACATGCCAAGTTTCAGCGCAATCGGCCCAGTAGTTACCGAGATATTGCAATTGTTACAAAACTGACACCACTTCGTTTTGCACGTGGCACGTGCATAAGGTAAATGTTACCGCATGTAAATCGGTCAAGTGGTTGCTGAGATATAAGCCTCGCAAAAGCGTCCGCACGGCCGGCCGCTCATACTAAGAAATTTCCGTTAATCTACGAAAGACTGCGCTCGCTCCGCTAGGTCGTTCAATAAGTAAGGTAAAATGTATCAGACTTCATTTATAGGAAGAATTCAAGCAAAATCAAAAATGCCATCTGAATCTTGTAAAAATTTTCTACACAACCTTCGAAACTGTTTTAGGAGTCTGGAGTTTGGCTCATTGTCCGAACACGGCCGGTATAAAAACATTGATGCAGCAGAGTTCCGTTCTAAAAATTTGCGGTTTGTCCTAAATTCACCTCAAAATGAGCGAGTTGACCCTGATGACGCTATTGCCATTAGCAATGCTTGCTGGTGATCAGTTGGAACGACGATTTCAACAAGAACGCAGCAGTGTTTTTAATAATATTTTCGTTTAATAGACAGAGTTCTAGAGCAGGTAGACTTGTGCTCGCAGGCCTCTGCATTTGGCACAATCTGTTAAGTCGGGGAGCTGATTATCGAGACCCAAAGAATCTGCGTGACTGGTTTCACTATCAGAGTGAAGTTTTATGTCGAAACAGTTCTAGGCATCATCAGATATGCTTGATATTTACAAGGTCTTCACGAGATAAATACAGAAACAGGTCACTGAACAGCAGAAGGACGCCCGGCGAGGCATCAGTGTGGGATCGGCTTTGCTTTAGCAGTGCAGGAAGGCTGAAGTACAGCCGTGACCTGGCGCCGTCCCACTTCAACCTGTTTGGACCACCGGAAAACCTGCTGATTGCTATATACTTTTGAATCTTAACTGATCAGGCAATCGAGCAAATAATCAACACATGGCTTTGGAATAGCAATAATGAGTTTTCCAAGCAGGATTTCAACGCCGGGTGGAGTGCTGGGATAAGCGCGTGCGCCTGAACGGTGATTGGATGTAGGTTCGAGTTCCGAAGGCTGGGGAGGCTGACCGAAGAGACCCTGCCAACAAATGCTTATAGTCAATTTGTAGACGAGATTTCAATGAACATTCTCACATACACATACATATTGCTAGTTTTCGTGTCGTTGCACTGGTGGACTGAAATACGTGTGGTTTTGCCTTACCTTATCGAACGACCTAATAATAATGCTTTATGCGTCCCTGGGAAATACTACATTCTACAAGATCCTAAGAGGATTCTCCCCCACGGTTTTCGCCCATGCCCCACCCTAGGTGAAGTTGCAATTACGTTGCTACGTCGTAACGACTGTTCTGGTATGTGTAGTCATCCACGATACTCCTCAAAATAATGGTTTGGGAAGGGCTCGCTGTGGAGCCCCGTGCTTGACAAGATAATAGATTTTAACCACAGATTTGGGTTTCGACGGGTTTTCTTGGCATACATGCTGATGATACGAGGTTTATCTATCTAGTTTCAGACAAATTTGTGGCTTTAAAGGCCTAAATTTTATTCGTATTCGTGCGAAGCTATATCATTTGCAAAGCACGTAAGTCACCTCTCCCGAAATCGCTTGTCATTAGCATGTGCGAACGATATGCTGTGTCGTAATGGCAGAAAATTGCGCAGGACTAGGGGCATGGGTAGTTCCTGTCATCTAGTGAAGCCTTTCCGAATGTACAGTAACGAAGCCTACCACCAGGTGGCAGGTGCGTGCCTTTTACTGGCCGGCCTGTTGGGGGCGGGTTACGGACAAAAGTACGTATCGCTAAAGTACGTAGGACAAAAGTACGTAAGCAAAAGTACGTAGGATTAAAGTACGTATCGCAGAAGTACGTACAGTATAAAGTACGTACGGACAAAAGTACGTCAGGGACAAAAGTACGTATCGCAGAAGTACGTACAATATAAAGTACGTATGGACAAAAGTACGTCAAGGACAAAAGTACGTATCGCAGAAGTACGTACAGTATAAAGTACGTATGGACAAAAGTACGTCAGGGACAAAAGTACGTATCGCAGAAGTACGTACTATATAAAGTACGTATGGACAAAAGTACGTCAGGGACAAAAGTACGTATCGCAGAAGTACGTAGGGTATAAAGTACGTATGGACAAAAGTACGTCACGGACAAAAGTACGTATAGCTAATGTACGTAGGGTAAAAAGTACGTATGGACAAAAGTACGTCACGGACAAAAGTACGTATCGCAGAAGTACGTACGTAGGGTATAAAGTACGTATGGAGAAAAGTACGTCACGTACAAAAGCCTACGCATAGCAAATGTATGTACGTAGGGTATAAAGTAGGGTGGCCTTGGGCAAGACGCCCCAAATAATTTGTTTTGCTACATAGGTACCTTCTTTTGTCTCACATCACCTGGAAGCCCAAATTTGTGCTCAATGTTTGGACATTTATTTTAAATTCCACCCCTCAAATTCATTCACTTATGATCGGACTCCCAGCTAGGAAGTGATTTGTGAAGCAACTGCAAATGTGGCATTTTGCCCCAACCCCAGGGCAAAACGCCCCACGGCCTGAGGCAAGAAGCCCCATACACTAGATTAAAGATTGAACATGGTAGTTGGCTAAATCTTACATGAGAGGTCCGTTAGACCGCTGGAGGCACGGCATTGAAGGTAACACCTTCCATCCTATCAAGTGTTCAGCTATGACATTATTGTATGACCAGGTTTTTCACTTACCTCATAAGGCCAAATAATAAATTATTGCAATGCAAATCAGTTAACAATATACTTCTTTTGCCATACAGTTGCTGAGAAAAATACATATGAATGCATAGAAACTTGTTGTTCGCCAGCTACCGAACATTAGGAAGTGGATAGTCCGAACAACACATGAGGTATTGAAACGCCCCACGGGGCTTTTTGCCCCCGCGACCTACTGGGGCGTTTTACCCCATCACGTAGTTCGGTCAGCGAACAACGCCTTGCGCTCCAGCAAGACATAATTTATTACGAACCAACCCGGCATCATAAGCGTTAGACAACAGTTGTTCAAAATACATAGAAGTTGTTAACCTGATATGGACCACAAAAGAACGCGATTATGTATAATCAGACAACCAAACATAAAAATCACCCAACAAACACATTTTTGGCTATATCTCCCTAGAGAATTATCACAATTTCTTTCCAGTCTGCCCATATAATGATCATATAGTGCACATTTAACAGAAGAGAGGATCTTTCCCCAGAACCCTGCTAGTTCCGAGAAACATCGGTGAGGCGTTTTACCTCGGCGGGGCGACTTGCCCCGGTCTACCCTACGTGTGGACAAAAGTACGTCACGGACAAAAGTACGTACCTATAGCAAATGCACGTAGGGCATCAAGTAGGTACGTACCTACCCCACCCTTGGGTTAAGTTGATCAACGTATAATACCTTTGTTATTCTTTATTTAATAAGCATTTGTTACAAGGCATAGCAAAGTTTCTCGATGAGTAAATGGGCGAAATGGACAAAGCTATATTATTTGGTATATGAATTTATCATGAGTTCCCTGTTAGTATGGCAACAGAGCAGCAATAAAAAAGTGGCTCGACTTACACTACTATACCCTACTTCTAGCATACGTACTTTCTACACTACGTACTTTGGCATACGAACCGTACGTAGGGGAGAGTGGGGCTAGTTGTTACAGGGGTAAGTTGTTACAAAGGAAATATCTTTAAAAATACTCTTGATATGGCGCCAATATTTACGCTAACAGAAAGGTTACGCACATTTTACATGTCACTGCAGGCTCAGACCTGGTGGAACGCCATGTCGCCCTGTAGGCGCACTGGGGTAAGTTGTGACAGCAAAAGTATTTTTTGCTGGCCAACACTTAATGTCGTTTTTTGTCAAGGTTATTTGTGTAAGAATGTTGAATGTATGTTCACAAAATTAAGCGATGATTTCTTTTGTAAGATCACCAAGTAAAACGCACTAGCCTCTTCATGTTAACAGACATTTGAGTTCAGTCTTGTGAAAGTCGGCCGCCGCAGGGCCGGGGCATATTTTAGGATGGCTACCCAAGACTGCTTATAGCGTGCTCCATTTCACCTGGGCGTAAATTTCGTGCAGAAAATCAAACTCCGGTCAGTATGGCAATGCATGGTGCCCTTGGCGTCGCTGTAAAGGCAAATCAGAGATCGAGCCATGTTTGATGAGCCTTTTCATGCGTGTGGAGTATAGTAATGGTTTATGCTTTATTGTTCTTGCCTTTCAATAAGAAAGGAAAGCATGTTTAGTATTATCCATTAGGGAGGCTTACGATCGGTTCCGATAGGACGGCCAATGACCGTTATAATGATGAAGAAACTACGAAAAAAGAAGTGTAACATGTTACCCCATATCGTGTATCAAGTTGCCCCACAATTTTTCAACTTACCCCAAAAATCTTGCTTTGGTTTTCTGAATTTCACATAAAAGTGAATAGTCGTAAAGAAGTGAAAGTTTGCATGTGCTTTCCAAATTGATTCAGCTAGCATGTGACCAAAATTAGTGCAATTTCATTGAATAGCTTGGCCACTAAGTGCATAAGACCAAAAAGTGTAACGCATAGCCCCAGTCTCCCCTACTTTTGGCATACCTACGTACTTTTTACATACGAGTACTTTTGCATACGAACATTTGCGTACGTACTTTTGGCATACGTACTTTATACACTGCGTACTTTTGCATACGTACTTTTGCGTACGAACATTTGCGCACGTACTTTTGGCATACGTATTTTATACACTACGTACTTTTGCATACGAACTTTTGCGTACGAACATTTGCGTACGTACTTTTGGCATACGTACATTTTGCACTACGTACTTTTGCATACGTACTTTTGCGTACGAACATTTGCGTACGTACTTTTGGCATACGTACTTTATGCACTACGTACTTATTCATACGTACTTTTGCGTACGAACATTTGCGTACGTACTTTTGACATACGTACTTTATGCACTACGTACTTTTGCATACGTACTTTTGCGTACGAACATTTGCGTACGTACTTTTGGCATACGAACTTTATCGCCTACGTATATTTGCGTACGAACATTTGCATACGTACTTTTGTCCTACGTACTTTAGCGATACGTACTTTAGTCCTAAAATCGTTGGGGGCTCTGATCAAAGTGTCCTCGAGTGATCGGATATTGCTTTGTGTATAAGTCTGAGCCATGGCTTTAATAAGTGCAATAATTGGGCGGCCGAAACGCTCTTGTGGTTGTTCTTTATGCCTAGGCTGTAGGCGGATGGCTAAGCTCTGGCCTCTGTCTCCTGATCTGTGATTGGCCAGCCCGCTCGGCCGGCACGGGGTCGCCGTGGTGTATGTATTTCTCTGTGCCTCTGTCTATCTGTCTGTCTCTCTGTATCTGTGCATCTCGGTGTGAGCGTTTTGTAAATGTATGTGACTAACGGATCCCGCTCGACCGACAGGGCATCGCCGTGGTGTGTCTATATGTCTCTGTCTGTGTCTCTGTCTCTGTTTCTGTATGAGTCTTCTGTAATGTTATATGACTGACTCGGCCCGCTCGACCGGCAGGGCATCGCGGTGGTGATGGAGGAGCTGCTGAAGATCATCAAGTCGCTGATCCAGGGCAACATCCTGCAGTTCACGCGCACACTGATGCACGTGATGCCACAGCGGTGTCACATGCCCATGCACGACTACGGATCGGCAGGTCAGTCGGTGTGCCACCTCCAGGAGCCCTCAGCAAGACACGACTGCGGGTGGACAGGTCAATCAGTGTAACCCTCCCCCCCCCTCTCCGCTATATACGGCTACGGGTTGGCAGGTCAGTGAGTGTAACCCTCCTTTCGTTACACACGGCTACATGACCGATGACGGCACTACACAGATCAGCCCGCGGTTTGGTCAGGCTGTCCACTACAGACTTTATCATGCACTACACAAGATCTGTGTCTGGCCAGGTGCAAAGTGGAGTTCGTCAGCTGTCGGCTGCTCGAGCGTGGCTCAAGGTCACCCCTGTGGCTGGCCTGTGCCTAATTATCTTTGAAAACTGCCGGTCTACCCGCCCGCCGACGGGAAACGGTTCGCCATTTACCGGGACTCCTAAAGGCCGTGAGGGAAGCCATGCTGTTGGCATCCACATTCCATCCACACCTTTGTTGGCCATTCTGCGTGATACGTATGCTCCGTATCCCGTCCCAGCTTCTAGCAGGCGAAAGTGATGAGTTTAGATGGTGTAGATGCGTAGTAGAGCGAAGCGAAACCAGCCAGAGCATCATTCGTTGGGACGTAGAGGCGATGTTAGAGGTTAGAGGCCACAGATGTTTGGGTGATACAATCAGTTCGGTTATTCTCACCGGTCCGTGCCAAGGTCAACCCCATCTACCAACTTCGGCCTTGTCGGAAACCCAAGAAAAATGTCGATCCACAGTATAGTACCTACCTATCACTCAGTGCGCAGTGGCTCCCCTCCCCGGTCGGCCGGCGCAGGACGGAATTACGTCATCTCTGCCGCGGGGTAACAATGCGCCGGTGTGACGGTAAATGCCTACAGCTGAGGTGGCAGCGGTCGCAGCGGTCGCTGATTCACCTCGGGTAAACCCCGCTGGAACCGGCACGGTAGTCTGCCTCTGTCTGGCTATGATGATGATATGTGACAGCACGGACGGACGGGGTAGGTAGCCAGCGGCCAGGTGCCAGCCGTATAGACGGTAACCTGGCTTTCCATGAGGACCGGTCGGAGGTGGACGGGGGGGGGGGAGGGGTGATTCAGACGGGCGGGCGGCGGCACCAATACCCGGAACTGGTGGCTGTGACGTCGTCTGTCTGTCGGTCGGCCGGAGCCGTGCCGCCGGTCCCGGGTATGATGACATTTCCGTGGGAGGCTGTTTTTAGTTATATTGTGAGCGTCGGCTTATGCGAATTTGTCATCTTTTCCGCTACATATCAATGATGACGTGTAGTGGCGAGTCAGAGAATTATTTTTTCTTGGTCTTTTATTATTGAGACGGTAATTCCTTCCCTAGGATATTGTTAATAGTTGGAAGTTGATTATAGGCTCGTCTCGTAGTTCCCGTGCACATGACGCTTTTTATTTCGCCCATGGAATGCAAATGAGGCGTAATCTGACAACTGAAGTGCAGCTCCGCGTTAGGTTGGCATCGGGACGAGGTCACTTAGCAATTTGGCATGTAACTGGTGTCTGGGATGTCCGCAGGATGGCAACGTAATGCTCGTCTTATTGAAATGCTAGAACGATGGAGATAGGACATGCATGAATGATGTATGTCCGGCCACAAGTTTCATTGGAAAGCTTCAGTTCATCACTTCATCACTTCTTCACTTCATCTTGTGCATATGCATATTAAGACGGACGATTGTCACCCTACATCGAAACCCGGTACGCAAAAGGAGTTTAACGTAACGCCTGCTTTACATCGTTATAATTGAGAGTGTCCCGTGCGTGAATCGCCCATGTCTAGCCCCACCAGTCTCTTTGTCCCTCTCACTTGTCTTCCCTATATGTACTTGTCTGACTCACCGTCGCTGCGCCGCTCGATCCGCAGGCGTTCTGGAGTACTACAACGCGACGCTGACGGACATCATCCAGTACCCGGACGCCCGAACCGAGCTGTTCCACAACTTCAGAGAGTTCGGCAACGCGCTGCTCTTCTGCCTGCTGATGGAGCAGGCGCTGAGTCAGGAGGAGGTGAGGACGGGGGACAGCAGGCGCTCAGCCAGGAGGAGGTAGGACGGGGGACAGCAGGCGCCCAGCCAGGAGGAGGTAGGACGGGGGACAGCAGGCGCTCAGCCAGGAGGAGGTAGGACGGGGGACAGCAGGCCTTCAGTCAGGAGGAGGTGAGGACGGGGGACAGCAGGCGCTCAGCCAGGAGGAGGTAGGACGGGGGACAGCAGGCGCTCAGCCAGGAGGAGGTAGGACGGGGGACAGCAGGCCTTCAGTCAGGAGGAGGTGAGGACAGGGGGGCAGCAGGCGCTGAGCCAGGAGGAGGTAGGACGGGGGACAGCAGGCGCTCAGCCAGGAGGAGGTAGGACGGGGGACAGCAGGCGCCCAGCCAGGAGGAGGTAGGACGGGGGACAGCAGGCCTTCAGTCAGGAGGAGGTGAGGACAGGGGGGCAGCAGGCACTGAGCCAGGAGGAGGTAGGACGGGGGACAGCAGGCGCTCAGCCAGGAGGAGGTAGGACGGGGGACAGCAGGCGCCCAGCCAGGAGGAGGTAGGACGGGGGACAGCAGGCGCTCAGCCAGGAGGAGGTGAGGACGGGGGACAGCAGGCGCTCAGCCAGGAGGTGAGGACGGGGGCAGCAGGCGCTCAGCCAGGAGGAGGTAGGACGGGGGACAGCAGGCGCCCAGCCAGGAGGAGGTAGGACGGGGGACAGCAGGCGCTGAGCCAGGAGGAGGTAGGACGGGGGACAGCAGGCGCCCAGCCAGGAGGAGGTAGGACGGGGGACAGCAGGCCTTCAGTCAGGAGGAGGTGAGGACAGGGGGGGGGCAGCAGGCGCTGAGCCAGGAGGAGGTAGGACGGGGGACAGCAGGCGCTCAGCCAGGAGGAGGTAGGACGGGGGACAGCAGGCGCCCAGCCAGGAGGAGGTAGGACGGGGGACAGCAGGCGCTCAGCCAGGAGGAGGTGAGGACGGGGGACAGCAGGCGCTCAGCCAGGAGGTGAGGACGGGGGCAGCAGGCGCTCAGCCAGGAGGAGGTAGGACGGGGGACAGCAGGCGCTCAGCCAGGAGGTGAGGACGGGGGCAGCAGGCGCTCAGCCAGGAGGAGGTAGGACGGGGGACAGCAGGCGCCCAGCCAGGAGGAGGTAGGACGGGGGACAGCAGGCGCTCAGCCAGGAGGAGGTGAGGACGGGGGACAGCAGGCGCTCAGCCAGGAGGTGAGGACGGGGGCAGCAGGCGCTCAGCCAGGAGGAGGTAGGACGGGGGACAGCAGGCGCTCAGCCAGGAGGAGGTAGGACGGGGGACAGCAGGCGCTGAGCCAGGAGGAGGTAGGACGGGGGACAGCAGGCGCTCAGCCAGGAGGAGGTAGGACGGGGGACAGCAGGCGCCCAGCCAGGAGGAGGTAGGACGGGGGACAGCAGGCGCTCAGCCAGGAGGTGAGGACGGGGGCAGCAGGCGCTGAGCCAGGAGGAGGTAGGACGGGGGACAGCAGGCGCTCAGCCAGGAGGAGGTAGGACGGGGGACAGCAGGCGCCCAGCCAGGAGGAGGTAGGACGGGGGACAGCAGGCGCTCAGCCAGGAGGAGGTGAGGACGGGGGACAGCAGGCGCTTAGCCAGGAGGTGAGGACGGGGGCAGCAGGCGCTCAGCCAGGAGGAGGTAGGACGGGGGACAGCAGGCGCTCAGCCAGGAGGTGAGGACGGGGGCAGCAGGCGCTCAGCCAGGAGGAGGTAGGACGGGGGACAGCAGGCGCTCAGCCAGGAGGTAGGAGGGGGACAGGGGGCAGCAGGCGCTCAGCTAGGAGGTAGGAGGGGGACAGCAGGCGCTGAGCCAGGAGGAGCTAGGGGACAAACGGACGGCCTGTCACAGGGAACGTTCCGGATTGGCGAACGCTGCGGTCGTATTGGCAGGAGTACTCTCAACTGGGCTGGGCTCATAACCAGTGGCCATCATTATTGACCTAGCTCTAGATCTGACACAGTGACCTGATCGTTGACCATTGGCCTGGCTCTGCAACCCGCCTTTGAGAGATTACTCACCACTTATCATGACCCAGCACCTTGACTCGATAATGTGATTCGATCCAATTGCCTCCCCCTTATGACCACCCCCTCTGACCGACTCTGACCGCCGCCCGTCTCCGTTGGCCAGGTGTGCGACCTGCTGCACGCCGCGCCGTTCCAGTTCATCCTGCCGCGCGTGTTCTGTCGCGAGGGTGAGAAACAGGAGGTGAAACAGCGGCGACTGCAGGAGAAGTACGCCTCGCTGCAGGTGGTCAACAACATCAACCAGATGGGCACACCCAGCGTGAGTCACACTGCGGCGGAGGGACAGGGATGGGGGACGGGGATAGGAGGGAGGGAGGGCGACAGTGGCCAGAGGAAGAGGAGGGGATGGTTATAGGACTATGGCTGGGAGAACAGCGACGAGGCATAGGGACAATGTCGGCGAGAGGAGTGGTGTGGACCAAAAACAGACGAGACGCAGAAACGCAGAGGAGTGCGATGGGCGGGAAGAGGAACGGAAACGTTCGCAAGTGGGGAAATGGGGGAGGACAGTTGGCTAAACGGCGTGATTCGACACCTACATACCGTGGAGTACCACCTAGTCGCATTTGTTGCATTTATCATACACAAATATTATTATGTAAAAAATGTCTGTCACATCCTCTCCCAGCCACCAATAATTGCGCGGCCTCACCCCGTCCTCTCTCGTTCAACAGCAAGGCAACATCGCCGAGGAGGGCGACCTGTTGACCCGCGAGCGGCTCTGCTGCGGCCTCTCCGTGTTCGAGGTCATCCTGAGCCGGGTGCGCGGCTTCCTGGATGATCCGATCTGGGTGGGGCCGCCGCCCAAGAACGGCGTCATGAACATCGAGGAGTGCACAGAGTTCCATCGGCTCTGGTCGGCGCTGCAGTTCGTCTACAGCATACCGGTCGGAGACAACGAGTTCACCGTCGAGTGAGTGACGCGACAGTTGCTGTTCTTGTTGTCATTGTTGTCGTTGTTGATGCCTGTTGTTCTGCGGCCTCTTTGTTGTTGCCATGAGTGACGGTGAACCCTGGGGGTGGGGATGGGTGTGGGAGCCATGGCGAGACGTTTGATTGGGACGCTCTTAGTGCCCGTCTGTGTTATGTCGATAAAGTCTGGAAGATCGTGTCCGTTAGTAAACATATTTTGGCGGGTTGTGGGGCGGGGATGAACCAACAGTGGTGAACTGCCAGCACTTCCTTGTATTGCTGCAGCGTGTTTTTATCAGACTCTGGATCAGGCGCGGTGAGGGGTACCTAGGTTGGTGCCATACTCGCAACATATGTCGCAATGGTGCAGCTCTCGGTGTCACTGCCTCTCACCTAAGTAGGGCGTGCAATATCATTAGCCAACGCTGTCACCTTTCCTAGACAGATGTTCTGCGAGGGTAAACACTGGGCCGGCTGTCCCGCTCACTGACCTGACCCAACCTGTGTCCCCAGACAAATGTTCGGCGAGGGCATGCACTGGGCCGGCTGCGCCATGATCGTGCTGCTCGGCCAGCAGCGCCGGTTCGAGGCGCTCGACTTCTGCTACCACCTGCTGCGCGTGCAGCGGGTTGACGGCAAGGACGGCGTCGTCACCGGCATCCAGCTGAAGAAGATGGTGGACCGCATCCGGCGCTTCCAGGTGCTCAACTCGCAGATCTTCGCCGTGCTCAACAAGTATCTGAAGAGCTCGTACAGCGACCAGGACAACCTGCCCGTGGAGCACGTCAAGTGCTTCCAGCCACCCATTCACCTGGCCAACCAGGGCCACTACCAGCGGCCCGAGCAGCTGAGGCCCGTCAGAAAGTAGGCCGGCCGCGCTGTCGGCGAGCCCGCCGCGGGGCTGGAGCTGAACGGTTCGTCCGTGTGTACCGGCCACCGGTATCACTGGAGTCGTAAGTGACAACAGCGAACTGTGCGGTTCGCGTTCCTTGACACTGGCTTTACTGAGGCTTCGTGATTTACCCTGCCTCGGCTGGAGTGTTGTCTCTGATGAGATTGACATTGAACGCATGAACTACCTGAGACTGCTACATGTGATTGTCTATTATCAGTACTGGCGTAAAGCCCAGTGGCAAGTCCGTTATTTTGCAAGTGGACTGGCGTCGTGTTGCTTATTTTGCAGGTGAACTGGCTTTGTGCCGCTACACTTTGCTCTGCGTTTGACCATTATATTTCGTGATGTGTTTCGTCTTGTTTCGCTCGTTTTACTGTTGGCGACTGCCGAGCGCCGCCAAGATTCGCCATTCCGCGCTGTCGCAGTGGCAGTGAATCTTACTGTGCGTGGTTATTTGGCGAGTATTGCGCGTGTAAGTCGTGTGTTACGTATTGTATAGACCGTGTACCCTAATGAGCGCCCAAAGCTGCTGACGTCTTGACTATAAAGTCATCATCGAATTCAGCGTTCGCTCTTCACGGGGCGGGCGGTCCCGCTGCCTATGCTTTAGCTGCACACGGCGGGTAACCCGCGCCATGCATTTACATTACCTGAAACGCTGAATAACGTATGAACTGAGTGATAAGACCTCCACTGAGTGAACGTCTATTCCGACTGTCTGTCTTCCCGGCTTTTCCGAGAACTGTGCTTATTTGCTGCGAGGACAGCTGGTTCAGGTGGTGTGATTATTTCACTTCACCTTACCGCTGCGGCGGTGTCCGTGTTTTGTCTATGGGGAGGGAGGGTCAGTCGAGACGGCTATTTTATACAGTATGGAGCTGCGGCCCTGCCGGCCGGAATATAGCTGCGTCGTGAATGTGTTCATCTCGTGTATATTCGGCTTGTGAGAGCGAAGTGTTGTCACCGCCGGACACCCTTGGGGGCAAGCTGGAGATCGTCCACAGCTGCTTTCGCCATTCGCTTCCTGACATAGCCTGCAATCCCCTGCAGAGAGTGCCCGCTTATTTATAGGATTGCAGTATGTATAAACAATGAGCGCGTAAGCCATGGCGTATAAACATGCCGTCACCGTACTGGAAAGTACAGCTAAGCAGCGAGGGATGGCGGAAGACACTGGAGAGGGGAACCCCTGGCTGCGACAGACGGCGCGGCTGTGTTATGGATTGCAAATGCACTGAGGGAGGGGCAGTCCAGAATGCGGATGTCTACCTTGGGTGGTGTTGTGATAGTTCGCCATGGTGGGAAAGGTGGTTAATGGGACGGCTAAGGCCTCGGGGTGCAACTGATATCAACATTCAGCCATATGGTGCTTTGTGCGAATACTGGGCTCCACTCAGCAGAAGGGTTTACCAACTAACGAGTCATTCAAACAACACAGGAGAAAATATGGAAGACAAACGCTTCCTGCTTTTAATTCATCACGGAACATGGGAAATAGTAAACGCTACAATCGGAAGACACATGAGAGTGGACACTGGACATAATACTTCTTGCTGGGTCATGAGCGCCACCAAAACGGACATTTGAATGGCAGCATTGAGGTCAACACTCCAATAAAAACAAAGTCTTATAGCGTAACACAGACACCCGTTCGCCCTTCGCGGCTCGTCTCGACTACGGCCGGCCAGCTGCGCTCGTAATCTGAGTAGCGCAGAATTCTAATGAATGGGCAGAAAACCGGTTTTACCGTCAGAGCAGCCATTGGGTATTCACCGGAGATTTCGCGGCCCGTCGACCGGTTCTGGAAACCGTTTGAGACGAGCGTCGGACAACCCGCCCATGACACGTCCAACTCCGCGTCAAATGCGCACATACGGAGCATATGGCGTAAATACACAGCCAAGGCGCGGGGTTTGGCTAGTCGCATCCTCCCTCCCCCACCCGCCCCTCATATTCCCCTCTCCGGCACCGGGGGCCCGGGGCCCGCCGCTGGGTAGCCCCATTCCAAGAACGACGTAGGGTCCCACAACTATGTAATTGTACAAAAAAAAAATCGAGCGTTGTCTCAGAAGCAGTTCACACTGCGATGCCCGTCTCGTCTGCAGCCGATTCCGGCTATCTTGGGTTGCTTCCGGGCCCGACCGGTGACCACACATAGGAAGCACATCCTTCGCTCTGGCGGGGACCGGACGACGTTCCGGCTCAGACCGAAACAGACACTCCCCGGAGAGCTCCGGACGACGACAAACGCGCACAGGCCTGCCATTAACAGACGCGGAATGCGTCACCTCTCAGCGCACAATCACACGGACGCCCACGAACGCCGATTGGAGCGCTTCACTTTGTGAAGATGCTGAGTGAGTAGACGCCAGACGGAAGGACGGAATGTATATCACAGTCGTTTGGAGGACGGAAGACAGTGGCGTCATTTGTTCATGGACGCAGCGGACCTCAGAAGCGGACTTGTTTGATGGAAGTCAGCTGCTGCAGTGTGTTCTGAGTCACTCCCCTGTCGGTCACACAGGGGGTCTATAAGACAAGCAGGCAGGGTAAGAAACACAGCAATACAGCTTCGCCCCAGACCCTGTCCCTTGTCGCCCATCCCGTCCCACCTCGCCCCACTGCGTCCCTATACCGCCCCGGCTGTTCCCATCCCGTCCTTTCCCGTACCTCATCACATGCGGCGGAGTGTCCCTGACGAACAGTGCGTAGACGGAGTGGGGTCCCGAGCGCAGGCCGTAGCAGCAGTGGTCGTCGGACATCGAGTAGGTCTCCGTGGCCTGCGCACCGTCGCCGCCGCCTCCGCCGTCCGCTGACACTGGCGGCATGGCAGACAGATGTTACTATGCCGCGAGGATAGTAACATACACATACAGAGACTGGTGGCCAACGTAGATGGAGTGCGGGAAACACGGCAAGGGAGTGGCTTGATTATTTCTGGAATGCGAGTCATGCAGAACTCATGCGGGATGTGAGTCAAGGAGCTAGCGGACAGAGCACGGTATACTATAGATTCCTAAAGCGTGGACGCCCCGCGGTTTTCCGAAGACATAGTGTTCCCAACAACGCGTCTCACTCCCATCACGAAGCTGAGCTGCCCATTGGATATTTCCGCAGTAGGTATAGTGCTAGCCGTGATCCTGATTTCAAAAGTCTCGTGTCCAGTGTATCGAGTCACTCACATCGCAGATATCTTAGAAGACGTCCCAATAGTGAATTGACGGATATGCCCCCTCCCCCGACGTCGAACTGGCGCCACTGCACTGGTTACCGCCCGCCGTCCGTCTGTTGAGTTCTCTCACGGCCCGGACATAGACGGTGACATGATGGATGCGTCACGACAGACGAACTCAATGGCGACCCCAAGCCCTCCCTGCTCGTTTACCGCAATCATCGGGTATAAAAAGATATAGGAAAGGAAGTCCGACTTACATTCTCTGGTTCGGCGCCATTCCCCGTAATTATCAATCTTTAGTGATAATATTTATGAACAATACCAATTTCCCCATGTTTCCCATATTCGTCTCTAACACGAATCCAAACATCTAAGCAATCGTCCATTCTGACATTCAGTCACGTACGAGACTCGTGCCCGTGCCTATCCTCTGGCCCGGGGGGCTGCGTTCAGCTGTCCGGCAGAGTCGCACTGTTCCCCGAACCGTCCTGCCACCATCGGTGGGCTTTCCTGTCGTAGCCGGCCGCCGTCGTTCTGCAGTCTGCAGCCGGCACGGGGTTTCCGGACGGCGGAACGGCCCACCAGTTGCACCATTCGGCACCGGTGCCAAACGACCGACGGAGGGGGACAAGGGAGACAGACAGGGGAACAACCGACAACAAATGACCAGGCAGGCAGCACTGAAAGAGTGCTGGGACAGCCGGCACCGATCCGTAACGATGGACCGGCACTACCAACACTAATGAGCCCGGACCACCGGCACCAGGAGACCGACCGGGACAACCGGCACCATTGAACCCAGACAACGAACACTTGAACGTGGACAGTGGAGGCACTATAGGACCGAGACAGCGAACACTGCAGGACCGGAACTACGGGTACTGCTGGACCGGGACAACGGGTACTACTGGACCAAAGAAACGGGCACTATTGGGGCGAAGGAACGGGTACTATTGGACTGAATGAACGCCGCCACCAATATACCGAGATGACTGCCACTGAATGACAAGCAGACACAGGTCACGGGAGGCATGCTCGGAGCAGAGAATACAGTACTCGCCTGGCGCTGAGCCGTCGAATCGGCCTGGATGCAGCTGACTGGCAGACATTCGGTAGAAGGTCCGCAGCTGACGGCGGCGGGTCTCGATGGCGGCGGCGGCGGCGGCGGCAGCGGGGGCGGGGGCGGGGGCGGGCCTCTCGGGGACTCCGCCGTGGGGGCTACAGGAGGCCACACAGCGCTGGATGGCATCGCTCTCCACCAGAACACTGCGGCAGAGGTCAGATCAGGGGCCAGGTCAGACCAGAGGACAGGTCAAATGTCAGGTAAGGGCAGCCACAGGTAACCAAGTCGGGTAAGGTTAGGTAAGGGCAGGTCACAGGTAGGGTAGGTCACAAGTAAGGGTGGGCCATAGGGAAGAAGAGGCCGCAAGTAAGGTCAGATGTCAACGGCACCATCCACACTGCAAGGACGACGGAGGTCAAGTCAGAGGCCATTGGTAAAAGGTCAAGCCAGCACGGTCGCACTCGTCACTCCAGTACAAGACCAGCCCCGTCCCCACCATATGTAGACTGAATGCGCCACAGAGAAATGTGACGGCGTCTGCAGCAAAGGAAACAGTGTCCAAAGCACAGCACAGAAAACGCCATCACAAACAGCGTTCCAAACAACAAACAGCACCCCTCCACAACAAACAACGCCCAACTGTTGTGGACTAGTGAGACCTACTTATGTTGTTTTGATATGACTGAAGCCTGAGCGACGAAGACTTGGCATCTCGGATCTTTTGCTCAGCCATGCTCAGCTTTAGCTGCTGGTAGAGAACTATGTATGGCATTGCTGTGCGCGTCGTACGGTGTTCAGCCCGTGCAATGCACTGCAGTTCGGAGCGGGGCAAGTGTTATTCAGCGGTCACATTAAGCAAACACCCACCCGTTGTTATTAACATACACAACCATCCAATTTCTGGCGTATATCTGCTTTAGCCTGGGCAATGTCATAAGACCGTGTGTGTATACGACCCACGTGTAACATGGCGTCATCAGCAGCCAAACAGATGAGCCATGTGCGTATTCTAGCGGAACGGAAAACCCAGTGACGCGCGGTCCGCCGGAGGGCTGGAGTCGGAAGCCGGGCCGGAGAGTCAGGGAGCGGAGTCGGGAGCGTGCCGGAGAGTCGGGGAGCGGAGTCGAAAGCGGTGTCGGAGAGTCGGGGAGCGGAATCGGGGAGCGGAGTCGGGGAGCGGAGTCGGAGCAGGGCCGGAGAGTCGGGGAGCGGAGTAGAAGCAGGGCCGGAGAGTCGGGGAGCGGAGTCGGAGCAGGGCCGGAGAGTCGGGGAGCGTGCCGGAGAGTCGGGGAGCGTGCCTGAGAATCGGGGAGCGGAGTCGGAGCAGGGCCGGAGAGTTTACACATGAGTCCGATCACCAGTCACCGACCAGCTGAGCGTGGTCTCTGATGGACCGCACTGGTACTGACGCAGGCTGTCGGCTTAGCCCTAACTAGTTATTTGAAGAAGGCGATGATTCAGGTTCCGACACACCAATATGCATGTCCTTCGATAGTCAAGGGCTTGGATATTCTGCTCGAAGGCTCATAAGAAAAAAAATATTTTTTCAAGTAAAAAGTCTTCTGATGACCATGCAGCGGGATCGCTGCATGCGTCCTGCTGCCACCGCTGTAAGGCCGCCCCACGCTGACACTGGGCCTCGCATGCCGGTTGCGAGTTTTTGGGTTTTCGGGTTTCTTCAAAGTCAAATAATATAATAATAAGCTGAGTGACCCACACTACCATCTAACAAGCGAGTCTGCATGCTTTTAGCTTGCGAGCCACCTTGCATCGCATTCCAAAAGTTGATTTGGAGACAACTTTCGATTTTCCTCGCTGCGAGTTCTGCGAGGTTTGCGGGGATCGTTGGAGTCGAATTAAGGTTCGTTGCGCTGGTATTGCGACTATATGTAATTTTCTGAGGGTGTATCGGCTTCACTGCATTCATGAAGTTTCCATAGAGGAACGGTCTAACCACTCTATGAATTACATATAGACATATGAATTACATATATTAATTCATAATACTCTATGAATTAGTTTTATGCCTGCAAACTCAAAACCAGCAAACTCGCAACCCCCATGCGAGGTCCAGTGTGGGGCGGCCAGTTACATCGAGCCCTGAATCACGGGATCAGGCCTCTAATAAGACAATTGTATGGAATTGGAAATGCGCTTAGGCCGGAACACAGCACACGCTTGCAAATCGCGTCGAACTCGCGTCAAGCGCGGAAATCGCTTCGTTCGCTGTGTTTTCACTTGCAATTCAGCTCACAACTCACGTCGAAAACGCGTCCCGCTTGGAAAACGCTTTGCGCTCACAACTCGCGGCTGAAACGCGTTGATTATTGATTACACTTGACCTTTGCACGTGACATCTTAGCATATCCATGCGTCTGTTTCATGACAAAATTTTATGCGGCGTTCTTTCGATGAAATTTTTTTTAGCTTTGGTATTTTAAATGACCTCCTCCTCGTTCATTAATTAAAATCAGCACAGGTTAAATGTTACTTTCTTTTGTAAGAAATTCCTTAAAAAACAGTTGATGCCATGCCACACAGGTAGTTCATCATGCCACATTGGAACTTAACTATAATTTGTTCAGTCAATTTTAGTATTTTAGTCAGTATTTGTTTGCCACGTATCATGGTCATTGGTCACAATCGGTTGTTCAGAAGTTTTTCAAGCGAATACAACACCGCTCTTGCAAATCTAACAACTGTTATCGTTCAATCTAATCTAGCAATTCATTCAATCTAATAATCCAACGATTACCATCCGTAAGTAAACTACATGTTTCTCCTTTTGCGTTATGCAAATCACAGGATATACTTAACCCTCGCCCGCACATGCCATTTTCCCATCCTAGAACGCACATGGGGGGGGGGGGGAGGCGTGCCATTCCCCCGCGCCATTTCGTTCCTGTTGGAGATAGAGCTTCGCGGTAGAGACCAGAAAGATTCTTTGGGAAGAGACAAATCCAATGATTCCCAGTTTTACCTTCTCAGGTCAGTCGTTGACCTTCCAGGTCAGGTCAAACTAAAAAAATGTTGTTTTGGGTCACCGTTGCATATCAAGTGCGCTGCTCATCATATAGGTACCGGGCGATGACGATGCCGTTTTGTGGTGCCAAGCCAGCTAGAACCTTTTTGTCACACTATCCGATCAGGTTTTTGCTGCTGAGGTCATTTCAGGTCAAGTTAGGTCAAGGTCAATGATATGTGTTTGCATGTCTGTGAGTGTATGCGAGATACTGATGTGTGCACCGATTGTTTATGTGTCCATATTACATGAGATCATGAAATGAGAAGGTTTTACCAAAGATACAGTCAAAGAAACTTCACGAAAAGTAAATTCATCTTGCCTAAATCGCAATGATTTTGGATGATGTAGGGGTGGAGACTCGAGCCCGGTCCTGTGGGTCTGTCGCTATCTCCCCCTTTATCAGCTACTTTACTCTACATATGACAAGTGGTTGGCTGGGACGTCTCCCTTGTGCCGTTAACCCGTCTGCCACCCGGGCCACGTGTCATTCTACATGTGCATCTACGGTGGGGCCGTTTACTCGAGTGGTTCAGTGGTGAATGCTCGCCATTTGGTAGCCACGCGGTGGGTAGCGTGCCGATGGCTATACTAATCTAATGAGCACCAAACCCTTAAGCCAACTAAAGTTAACTGGCAAAACTAAAGTACCGACATAAAGTTGCTTCCACTCTTTTATTCCTCCTTCTCGTATTCCTCCATGAAAAGTTGATATCGATTTTGCAAGTGGCTGCGATGGTCAAGTGGCCCAAGGAGCGGGTTCGGTTTTTGGTAGGGGAGGATGGGGTAATTTGGCCGCTTTTTTAGGAAGCGCTGTAGCTGGGAAGTTGGCGACAGACTTCTGCACTCTCTCAAGGCTGGCAGGTGTAGCATTCATTTTACTTTCTTATACAGCAAGCTGAAAATGATAGAGCAACTGCTTATGCCTGAATTTTGTCGTTCTACAAAGGTTTGCAAAGCGGCTTAACCCTAGAACGCCTAGGGGGGGGGGGTTGTATCAACCCCCCCCCCCTGAGGTTTTTTCGAAGTGCACGCTAAACGGCTTGTCGTAGCGGGCAGAAATTTTCAATACCCTCTGGGGCAACCTTTGAGCATCTTTTGCCGAAAAAAAATTGATCGGGTCATGTCAGGTCACGGAGTTATGACGTCATAAGAGGTACAGCCTCCGGCCGACAGTTACCAAACGTGTGCGCCGAATCCCTAGGTTTTCTGCCGGTGATACCCACATTGTTTGATGGATCATGATGAAACTTCCCATGCATGTTGGGGCAAGCATTGGCTATCGTGTGGTGCAAGAAAATTGACCGGGTCAGGTCAGGTCACGGAGCTATGACGTCACAAGAGGAACAGCGTCCGGTACTATTTTTGAAAAGCGCCCGAACCACTATTTTGCTAATTCTTGTCACCTCAATGGGAATATGCAGCAATATTAGCTTCTATAGGGAGCAAATGGACCTCCCAAATCCAAAAATACAATCAGATTTAAAAAATTTAAATTTTGATTTTTCGAATTTCTGCCGCCGACTGTGACCTTGCCGACTTCCGGCGCTCCCAACGCCCCATTTTTAGAGCTAGGGAAACGAAATACATACCAAACGATAGAGAATTGATCAAGGAACACGATAGTTGAAGGTTTCAAGTCGATATCTCCCACCGTTTTGCCGCAATCGCCGCGGAATGTTGAAAAAGGTCTATTTTTCCGAAAATTTGACCTTTGACCGGTCAAAAGTAGGTCAAATGTTGACCTAGGACCAAAAAATATACCACCAATCGCGAGATCTTGTTGAGAGCAATCCGTTGGTTTTTCCCGCTAAGCTCTACGACCTTCCGTTTCGAAACGCCAGGGGGGGGGGGTCATAACAACCCACCCCCCCCCCTGGTCGTTCGTGTTATGAGAAATGGCCTGGTCGTGCGAGGGTTAATTGCCCCTCTAGCAGGGTTATTTGGCCGGTGGGGTACGGGTAGAGCAATTTGGCCGGTGTTGATTTGAGGCCTGGATTTTATGTTACGGGCAAGTCAGCTTCAGCGCCAGCAATGACATGTGTCCTTTACGCATTTTTAGGCTGACTCGATGTCGGACTTATCTTCGAATGATTTTGACTCAGGTCTTATTTCAGCATTTTCCTGCACAACTGAAAATGCGCTTCCTTAGCATACACTGCTAAATCAAACATTTGCATT